TGTGAAAAAAACTTCAGGCCACTTTGAAAAAGAATCAATGACTACAAGCGCATAGTATTTGCCAAGAAATGGGCCACAATAGTCTGCATGAATTCTCTGCCAGGCCTCCGATGATACTGGCCATGGAGTCCACTTCGAATGCTGATTTTTCAGCTTATGACACTTTACGCAATTGTTTGCTGTACGACAAATATCTGCATTTATCTCTGGCCACCAACACGTGAGCCTCGCCAAGGACTTCATTTTCTCAACACCTAAATGTCCACTATGAAGATCTTCCAGGACAGCTTTACGCAATGAAGGAGGAATAAAAACACGATCATTTAAACAAAAAATACCATCAGGAGTAGTGGATAGCTCATCCCGCTTTGAAAAATAGATAGGGAATCTGCGATTCAGATTAGCATTCCAACCTTTCCGTATAGCATTAATTATACATCCAAAGTTTCTACGAGTTTCTCTAATGAGATCTGGACGTTTCACTGGTAAAGGTTGAACCAACAAACAGTCTGAAGTATTAACAGGTTTATCTTGTAATGGTTGTCGAAAAATGTAGTCAACATGTTGAATTTGTTTGCCACTCCTGTGCTGAACCGTATAGTCGTAGGCACTCAAAGCAATACTCCATCGTTGAACCATAGCAGCTGAGGCACGTGCTAAGGATTTTTCAGGATGATGAATAAACTGTAAAGCCTCATGATCAGTAACAATAGTGAATTTCTTTCTGAATAAATATTTATGAAGTCTTTTAACAGCCCAAAACACAGCTAATGCCTCTCGCTGAGTCTGTGAATAGCCTTGTTCAGTAACAGTAAGTTTGCGTGAGACACAAATAACTGGTCTACCTTCCTGTTCCAAAACTGCGCCAATACCCACAGGTGATGCATCAGTGATAAGCACAGACTGTGCACTAGGGGAGTAAGTTCGAAGAACAGCATCACTTCGAAGAAACTTTAGTAGACTACGTAAGCATGACTCTTGTTCCTCATCCCATTTGAATGAATTGGATGTCAAGATAATAAATAAACAATTTGCACGACAAGAAAAATTAGGAATAAAACGGGAATAGTATTGAAGAGCACCCACTAGTGAACGTAGTTCCGTAAGATTTTTTGGAGACGGTGCATTTGTCAGTGGAGCTAGTCGTTTCATATCTGGTCTAAAACCATTACCATCAACTAGGTATCCAAGACATTCAAAACTTACTTACTTACTCACGCCTGTTACCCCCAATGGAGCATGGAACATTCAAAACTAGATACACTAAATGAACTCTTATTTGGATTTACTGTAATATTCTTCTCAATTAAACGACGCAATAAGGCAATAAGTCTCTGGTCATGAACTCCCTTATCAGCACCATGAACAATCAGATCATCTTGATAAACTTCAAAACCTTCAAGATCATTAACCACCTTATTCATAACTTCCTGGAATATGGCTGGAGAACAACTCAGCCCAAATGTAAGGAAATTGTACTTAAACAGACCAAAAGGAGTATTAATTGTCGTCAAAATAGATGAGGATTGATCTAAAGGGATTTGAAGATAAGCATCTTCTAGGTCAATTTTCGAGAACACTTTAGAAAGACTGGATCACCCTGTGCTTGAAGTTTTATGCGCTGGATTTTCATACCTCCACTGCACTTAGCACACGTGGCCATCGAATCTTTAAGCAGAGCATCAGAATTTTCTTTAGAAACTAGGAAAGACAACTCCATTTCAAGCCTTTTCAAATTCCTTAAACCCAGTATTGACAGTCCTGTTTCGTTGACTAAAAATTCACAAGGTATGTATGAGAAATTATCATCTCTTATTAGCAATTCACAACATCCTCGTAAAGGCAGTCTGTGTCCAGCAATCCCCAATATTGATACTTCAGTTGGTAGATCCACAACGTTAGGATCTAAAGATTTCAAGTTCGTGAATGAAATAATCAACTCTATACTGCCTGTATCCACAATAAAGTCATGACATGAACCAAGTGATGTATATGATCGCTTTTGAATATGAGCATTACCTTTCGAAATGGTAGACAAAGATAAATGATCATTAGGATCAGCTGAATTATTGGGATCTAAATTACAAGATTTAGTACTACTTGAGGCAAAATGAACAGTAACTTTGCATACTGCTTGAATGTGTCCTATCTTACCACATCTAAAACATTTAGCATTACGAAATGCACATGAATTACGAGAATGAAGTTTTCCACATGATAAACATTTGCCAAACTTGTGATTTCCTTTGTAATTCTTTATTGAAACACCGTTCATATTTACACGAGCATAGGAACCACTGTTAAACGAACGCAATTTTGATCGACCCTGAGATTGTTTTTCATCATGACAACTAATCAAAGTATTGGAAATCTTCATCGACTGAATATCAAGTTCATTCAACGACTCGTAGTTAATGCACGCAGTTCTTACATCTTGAAAGGAACAGTTTGACATTCTTAACAGCTCTCTTTCCAAACTAGGTATGTTAATTCCTGCAAATAATCGGTCTCTCAGCTGCACATGAAGTTGATCACCGAAATTACATTTGACAGCTTGCTTCTGCAATTCAAGAATGAATTCCTTAACCTTTTGGTCATTTTGACGAATCATCTTATGAAATTTCGCCCTTTCACGGCATTCAAAACCAGGGCACTTTACATGATTTAATAATAGCTCCTTAAAGCATTGCATAGGGAAGTGAGATAGGTTTTTCTGGATATGCCAAAGTTTTTAATAAGCTGTACGCTTCTCTTCCGATGAATGTCAGGAAATGAGCCACAATTTTATCATCTTTAACATCTTTCTTGGTCATACTCCAGATTTCAAAACTTTCCAAATAATCTTCAAAAGCTTCAGAAGTAGAATGAATATCTAACTGTTCCATTACAAATCCTGCTCGCGACGCCAATATGATAATTAGAAGTATGTGAATCAAGAACTACGAGATGAGCACAAACGAATGTACTGTATTTTGAATTCGAAATCAAGCATTCAACAACAACCAAGAAGTCACTAGTTCATTCAAACACCACAGCCCCATTTCATTAATTATTCAACAGTGATCCATATTGTCATGATTCCGTCGAAGGATGCTTCTATGTTCCTCAGGCAATCCGTAAAGTTGTAGAAAATTTCAAAGTGTAATCTGGTCCATGCTGTCAAATGCTGTCTCGCAGTCAATGAAGCCGATGTATAATGGTGAATTCCATTTATTTGGTTTATCCACAATGATAAGTAGTGTCACGATTTCGTCAGCAAATGATGGATCCTAATGGAATCCTCCTCTCTTACTTCTATGTCTTTTGAATTTTCTAATTGATACAGATATGGTCGATTTAGTTCTGAGTAGTGTGATCCAATGAAACCCATATAGCAGTGTATGCGTTTATGTAGGGATATGATTGTACCTCTGACCAGTTTGTTGAATGCCCAAAGGGTTGCGAATCTCTCACCATTTTCGTCCCTTTCTCCCAGTCCATGTCGTCCCATGATGTCTTCACATCCCGTGTTGTCCATGCCAACCTTGGCAATTAGGTACCTCATTAGAATTGTTGAATCCTTTTACGGGAATTTCCCAATGATTGGCTGCAGCCTCTCGTAGAATTGATCTTTATCATCTTCATTGTAGTCATTAGCATGTGCATAGCATTGGATGACGTTCATTGTATAGCCCTCATTCTTTGTTTTGGAGGAAGCTTTGATGATCCTGGGTCTATGAGAAACCCATCCTATTAGTGTCTGTTGTGCATGTTTGGACAACTTATTGTGTGTAAGGCATTTTCTTCATCACGGCCGGAATATAACCGCAGCTCTTCTGAAGCTAGTCTTTGTTGTCCAACCTGAGTTTAATGCGTCTCATTGATTCCAAGCACCTCCAGGCTGCATCTTTTCATTTATAAAAAAATGAGGATTACCCTTCCGGTCTGTCATATTGTTCGAACATTCCATGTACCTAAATTGATGTTTGTGAGATAGGGCATCGCCTTCATGACTTCTGAAGGAACTTGGCTTTCACCATGAGGTTTCATAGCTTTCAAAGACCTTCAAATGGAATTAATTTTCCTGGTTAGAGATTCTTTAGCAAGTTGGTTTTCTAAGGGATATGTGTCGCTTACCACATGCCTAACCCATCTACTTTATCCAGACTTTGATCTGGCAGTGTCCATATAGGTGTTTCATGTGGAGTTAAATAAAACTCAGTTTTGCTCAACCATCACTAGTTACTTTAGAGGAGTTAGTTGTATTGCATCTCCTGCTATCCAGGATATATGTGTCGACATCGTCACTTTTCATAAAAGGTATTAGCATGAATCGAAATTCACGAAATGGCTAGATACGCTTGGGCTTACTTGAAGCACCTTTTATTATACGTGATATCTAGGATATCAATCTCTCTCCCTTTGTTCAGTATATCGGAGAAATATAATGTTTACTCCTCCAGTGTATCACTTTTATCTTTAACAGGGAAACTACGGTTTATATATAGATCAGGGTACAATATTTAAAGGAAATGGGTGTCAGTATCATCAGATCCTACCCTGAGTTTTCTCCAAGGAATTACAACATAAGTGATCCCAAAGCCAGTTCAGATGAAATAACGGTGTAGTGAATTGCATGCTAGCCTCGTTTCTACGGATTTTGATTGATCTTCATACTTTTCTGTTTCATCTGATGCTACTAAACCTGTCTTTTGTTTATTTCTGAGTTTTGTATCCTCTTGATTACTTTCTTCAATATATTAATTGTGACAGGCAACAAATGTTCTGTATGTTTCTTTTCATTCATTGATGTTTAGCTATTTCTCTTTTTTCACTTGTGTGCTTTTCAAGTTGAGAATTATCAACGGCATACTAATTAGCTAACAGATTTCGTTACCCTCAGCAAACGTAATGGCTTCGTAGTTAAATGAATCACAGGAATAACCGATATAAAATTAGTTCAGTATTATGCACGAAGGTTGAGGTTTTGAACCAATTAACACCATAAATAAATACTAGAGTTAGACATCAATACTTTATTGGTTATAATTTAAGGCAATTAATAACACAATCGATCGGAGTATATTTCTGAGTTCTTTATACTGTATAACGAACTAAATAGACGAAATATTTGATTGTGTTAAATATTCGCGTTAATTTTCTCGCAAGAGATACATAGATGAACACTTAAAAATGAAACACAAAAATAATGAATGAAAAACTTGGGATTTCTCATGTGTTCAATGCAAACTGTGTACAAAGATGGGAAGCTTGATCAGACTTTATCATAATTGAAAGTTAATTCATCTGAAACCATATGACGAGAGATACATTGAATAATTTCATTCTGTTGATTTTACCTATTCAAGGAAAATAACGAAATTAATATTTGTGCAAAATGTTTTCCTAAAATTAGTTGCGAAAAGTCATTCAAATTTTAAACAACACTTTAGTGTGAACGAAATATAGGTCACAGTGAAACACTAATCAGGCGACAAGTGAACATTCAGTTTCTTATCCAACTCAAAACACAACCAACCAGTTAGTAATTTATGTCTATTTTGTTGCAACACCAGTAGTATGTAAGTTAACTTAAAATTATGTCTATTGCATTTTGGATGTAAGGGTTTCCCATACGTCTGATAACAATAAAGCACAAGAGTAACAGTGCTTCCAGTCTTCTCCCCTTTCAAAAGTTAACTTGTCTTTCATAATTGTTTTTAGAAATATAGTCCTAGAGTTGAAAACAAAATTTTTTACTACAAATTTAATAGTGAACTGCTGACTGTGTGTCTTATGGGCTGACGTACGGAACACGACTATCAAAAATGTCATATTTTCAAATCAGTTGTTATTATTTAGGTTTAGTTTCATGTGACTGTAAAACGAATTTCTCCTTTTATTCGAAACCATGAGTAGATCAATGTTAGATCACCATTAGAAACCTGGAAGCACTGGACGGCTGTTTCGTCCTGGTATAGGACTCTTCAGCAGTGCGCATCCATCGGCTCAGTGGTCCGATGGTTAGGCGTTCGCCTACAATACCGAAGGTCCTGGGTTCGAATCCTGCGGGATGCACGAGTCGTGGATGCACACTGCTGAGGAGTCCCATACCAGGAAGAAACGGCCGTCCAGTGCTTCCAGGTTCTAATGGTGATCTAACATTGATCGATTTAGGGTTTCAAATAAAACTTAACAATCTTCACAACAACCCCGTGATGCGAATTTCTCCTTCACAATAAAATGAATAAAATTAAAATCCAGTAAACAGTTCATTGACGCCTTCAGAAATACATTTGATGTATATGGAAGGATATGACGAAATGGAATCACTTACTTATGTCTCTATTCTGAAGGTCATTTGGAACTTAGGACTTGGTACGTCCGTACTTCAGTTCAAGTGTCCATACCACATTAGCGCAGAGAAATGAAGTTGTCAGGCGAAGTATTAAAGGTGATAACAGTATCATTGGTAATCGAAAAGATTAGGGATCAGAAATAGATCTCAAGGAAATATATATCAGTGATAAATGTCGTGAGAACTTCTGAAACATGGAATCTGGTGGAAGACAACAAATGGATGCATCTGCGACATTGTAAAGGATTGTGAGACAAGTGATGTAGTCTCCAACCACTGGCTTCGACTATCATGCGGACCCAAACCAGGTGGTGTGCACCCATTGAAATGGCTCAGTCCAATTGTCATTGATTTCACAGATCGGCCTTTCGTTTTGGTTTTGTCGCCCTTAGCATTCTTCCAGCCAACTGCTACGCCATCCGTCACTGGGAACTGAAGTAGTCGGTGGTTGGACATACGTAATACATGTCCCATACATCTCAACTGATGAAGATTTACCATCTTATCAGTCACCTGATTGGTGGACCAACTATACAAAATTAATGCCTCGAAAGCGTTACAAAGTATGTAAATATATATGTTTAGAACCTAAAATAGTTTCAAATTTTTCGTTTAACTCTTTTCAAATTTAACGATTTTTTCAAAGAAACATAGTGTTCGGACGGTAAATCTATTTAGTATGTCATTGGAAGTCATCTGTTTTATCATCCATTTTAGATAAAGTTTTGCAAGTATATAATTAGAATAAAGAATCGGGCAAAAAAATTGTCAATTGAATACATTTTAGGGTTTGGCATTAGCTGCTTCATCATCAGAATTAGGTCATCTAGAAAATTTCTACGTGTTTAAGTTGAACGGATAGAGAGATTCCATAATACTGTGTAAGTAAATTCGGTAAGCAATAATATTGCGTAGAAAAAGTTATTATTCTAGCATTGCTAATTTTGTGAATAGAAGCGTAACAGTAGAAAATATTTCTGAAAGCAGTACATATTTATCAAGCTAGCATCAAAATTATGAAAGTAAAATATACATTCATTCCTTACTTGGATATCATGTAATAATAGATTTTGTTCTTTCAACTGAATGTCATTTTGAGTGCAACTGTGATCTCTGTCTATTAACTGTATTGTGGATATTTTTCTTTTATTGAGGGTAGAATTCTTTTTATTAGAATTATCTGGTTCAATAGAACCATTGCGTATTAGTGGAATATTTCTTGGCTCTGATTGACGCTCATAAGCTTTCACTTTTTCATAGGCAACTGAAGAGTGATTACTACTTGAAGTGTTGGGGTCTGACTGTTGAGTTGGATTAAACACAACAGATGCTGTGTAAACTAATCCAGGTGCTGGCGACAAGTCGTTTGTTGGAGATAATTTCTGTTTTAGTGTTTTATTTAAAGGCTTTACAGATTCTCTGTAAGGTTTGAATGAAGTGCTCTGGTACGATCCACGAGGTTCGTTTAATTGACAACGTTCACTTACTGGACTAAACTTAGGTCCAATTTTCCTCTGGTTTTCATGTTCTTGATAACATTCATGATAGCGTAATTTGTTTGGATTTGAAGAATCATCTGATTTCATTGAATTTTTACTACAGAAACCTGACACTTTAGACGATCGAAGAGTTCCGACAACATAACCATTCATCGCCTCATTGGGTCTACAAAGCAGATCAGGAGAAGGAAGGGGCGTGTGGCTTGATGTTTTTGATGCAGCTAAGTTCGTTTTTTCTCTCCAACTAGATCTGTTGGCCCCTTTTTCTGTAGCTTTATCTATTTCTTGAAGTTGATTTTGTATCATAATCTGTGATTCACTTGGAATTTTCTTTTTGAAAAACGAGATTCTTTTACCAGAATTCTAGAAAAATAAACAGGATATGAATAAAAAACCACGATTGTACAACAGGTGTTCATTAAACTGTCAAAAATAGCACTTATGAAATAGGAGATTTATCAATAAGATAATAATATAATTTTTATAATCACGTTTTGTCCGTCGACTCATATTATGTATATTCTGCCTGTAATTAATGGTACTGCAGTTTATCGGCTGTGAGATTAGATGCATTGCCTTTATTACATATCACACTTTTTAATTCGGAACAACTAAAATTGTTGGTAAGATCAAAATTTTATAGGTACAATGCAACTGAAAATAAATAGCGCTTATCTGATCACATTAATATGAATTTTCTTAAGATCAAGAGTTAATATAAGTTTAGCAACTTTTAAAAATCTGGAAGCTCTAAATAGCTGTTCTGTCCAACTATGGGATTCCTCAGTAGTTAGGCAACCATGATACGGAATCAAACCCAGGACCTTTAATCTCATGTGCGAAAGCTCATTCCAGGTTTATCGAATGCTTATTTTGTAGCAGTTTATGAATGCTTAATCACTATCTAACTCTTTGTACTAACTTGAAAATATTTCGATTTTCAACTTACCATTTTAGTCATATTCCATTCTCTTCGTAATAATAACATAAGACAAATGAATTTGAAAAACTATTGTTTAGCCGAGAGGAGTTTCCAACTAGTTAACTTTAACTAATTAGGTATACGTGAGACCACGACGAGACCCATGATACCTTTATAGTAGTATATTTTTATTCAATTTAGTGCTGCATACGTTTGTTTTTGAGCGTTTAGCTTGTAAATCGATTAGTATATTGATCACCAAGTGATATATGTCTATATTTTATTTACGATATCTAACAAATCAATAATTTCAAAATCTTTCTATTCAAGCTCTACGGCTAGGAATTCATAATTTTGGCTAAATTAGGCTAACAATAATAATAATAATAATAATAATAAATGATTTAAGGATTACAGGAATACTGTAAAAACATTTTTTGTGAAAGCAAATTTACCGTGGTTGATCTATCTAAATGGGATATTCAGTATTAATCAAATGAATTAGGTGATCCTGCTTACAAATTTAATCACTTCTTCTCTGTAATAATGTAACTACAGCTCATATAACTGGTTATACTGGAGTTAATTAATTTATAAGAAAGTGTTAAAGTGTCCATCATAATTTTATGTAAAATAATTATTAATGTAGATTACTTGTTCTGATTCATGACTGATAATCGCTTCAAACATCAAGTACAAAACAGAATATGTCTAGTAAACAATAAATTCAAGTACAAAATATGAATACCGGTAATCGGAAAAACCATTTAGAATTCGATAATTTTATGACTATCAATTATTATGTCCACATTTTGTGGCAATGCAAATACTGACTGTTCACTACTTGATATTAGGTTCTAATCACTTACTGATCTATATTTTGTAAGGTCAACTGGATTGAAATTTTGATGTTTCGGAAATACTTTCAAATCTTTTGGTCTTGGTGGTTTAATGGAACTTTCGATTTCAAAATTTTGTATAGATCTATCCCGATGAATATAAGAAAAGTTATTATTCGCAGTAACAACTGCATTATCATTATTGTCCATATCTTTTATAATAAACGGTGTATCAGTTAACTTTCTCTCATTTGTAGGATAATATTCACTTCGATATGTATGATGACAATTGTTGGTACTACCGTTATTTAGTTCATTATACTTCCGCTTTACTATCATAGGCGGTTTTTCATCATTATTCAAATCATGTTCAAAATGTCTCGAATAAATGAATGAGTTATTATCATGATTACTGTTAGTAAATGGTAAACGAGAAAGTAAATGATGCATTGACTTATTATTGATATCATTCATAGTCTTATTATTATTGGTACTACTATTAATACTATGAGAGTTATTGTCGCTGTTACTTCGGTTGTATTGTTCTTGCAAATCACGTTTTGTGGGTGATTCATGGAATTCACAACAACTGCAATGTTCGCGTTTATAATTTTCTGCATAACGTAAACCATCCGAATTCATACTTTGATTGTTACCGTTATAATATTCTTTTCTTACCGATGGTCGACGCTTTGAATATTTAGTAACATTTTTGGGTTTTGATTTACGCGAAATAGATCGATGAATAATACTACTGGGCTCCAAACTACCACTTCGATGATTACGTCCACTTTTATGTGCTATTACAACAGATGTACAACTGGGTATGTGAAAGTGATATGGACAGTCAATCACTGGTTGAACATCTAAGGAAGAAGTAGAGAATGAATAAGATGATGCAGATGATAGAAATGGACTATCCGTTGGTGATGTAGTCACAGAATTGCTCACATCATTATGCGAATGGTAATCCATTTGTACGCACTGACAACAAGATGGGTGATTTTTACGATTTATGCTGATTGGTATATTTGAACCGATAATGTGATGTGATTTACGGTTCAATGATTTGATATACTTACGTTGATATTCTTGAATATTGCTTGACGCACTTTCACTAGGAACTACACATTTATTGACATCTTCAAAGCACACAGAGGTACAATGATGTTCAGATGGTTTAGCATCAATAATCTTAGAAAATGGTTCAAAAGAGCGGGCTTTTTGTTTGATACGTCTGTATCCAGAAGGGTTCGATGTATCCATTAGACTTAAGTCATTGGTCTCAGTTCGAGATGAATTAGATTTGGTGATTTTAAGGTGTCCAGATGATTTATGACAGCTACAATGACAATATTTAGTGCTTTTTCTAAAGCTAGGAGTAATGACAGTTGGAAACATGTTGTGATATCTCTCATCTGTTTTATGATTTCTTTTTGACTTCGTTCCTCTATCTGGTTGACACAGTTGACGCCATTGTGAAGAATGTTGTATCTCGTTTCTTGTATTAGAGGATTTTATACCAGATATATGTTTTCGTGATGAAACTCCTTGATTAGAATCAATACATCCTAAATCTGAATAAGGTGAAGATGATGATAGTGTCGAAGACGATTCTGAATAAGTTGATGGTGAAGGAGATGTAGATCCACCAGAGCGAGTTAATGTCATTAACGATTCTGGAGGAGTATTACAGGATGTTATCACATTTTTGTTTGGCATAGTTTGTACATGAGAATCGCGCGATATGAATTGATCACCATCATGATGTTCATGTGTAGATCTGTATAAATGATTCGGTAGCTATAGGAAAAAAAATTATGGCTCAAGCAATAAGGATCCAAAGTATATAAATCCAATAAAAAATAATTTTTAAACAAAGTAGACATAGTTTCAAACATTTTTAATTGGATAGTAAAAATTAACTGGCTGTTACCCACAGTTCAAAAAACGTATAGAGAAATAACTTTCTACTTCAACTTCATTTGATTTTACAATAGATGTAATTGAATTTTCTCTGCACTACATATAGCATTACTGAAATCATGAATCGATCTAATTTAGGAAACCATTTAAGACCTGGAACCATTAGACGGCTGCTTCGTTCAGGTGTTGGTCGTAAAACACTCACCGCTGAGAAGTCATGTACTAGGATGAAATATTCGTTCAATGCTGGCAGGCTTTCAAAGCTTATCTAAAGTAAATAGGTTCATAGTTTTAAGAAAGTGACGAACTTCACATCTTTATACTGACAATCAATATTGCAATTAGCTTTTTTCGACAGTATTCGGTAGGTTTGAAAACATTAAAAGTTATATTACTGAACTATCATAAACACTAACGTTAAGATGAAAGGAGTTTGTTGAGCACTTTTGAGATAATCAGACATTCTTCAAGAACAGTAAAACTGTACACTTTAAATATATATGCACATAACTAATCAAGGATAATCTAAGCATTTTATCTGTCACTGAGTTCATTGGGGAAATAGGTTTCTAGGTACTTTTTTCTTTAATATTGTGGATTATTGAGTGATGGCAAGTTCGATTCATTCAAGACTACCAATTATGCATTAAAAGGTGAGCATAAACCACAGTGATCTACACTGTATGACTTTGACAAACATGAACTCTGAATCGCAAAATTAAATATATTTCAGTAATTGCCCAAAAACTCTCAAGGTATTAATGGTACCCAGTAGAATAGCTAACGTACTGGTTCAACTGTTTCGACATGAAACAATGGCAAGAAAGAACCTGTCTTTAGGGATAAGAATCGAAAACTTGAAGATTGTCTTTCACTGGTGGTTGAAGTATATAAAAATTGGGAAAATATAGTGAGATCTAGACTTTTTTTCTGGTTACTATTTTTCTTAACAAAACTAAATTATCAGCAATAAGTACTAAAAACTTTGGAAATAACCTACATAAATTTTCTTGTTCTTTTCAGAAGAAATCGCTTCGAGATTTTCATACTCTCCAATAAAATGACGTCTTTGTGAATTTATAGAGCTTGGATGATCATATTGAACTTTAGAACGCTGTTTATTTAAATATTCTTTAGTTGGAAACGAAGTTACCTTTTGTATCATGCATAAATCAGGAGGGTGACCATAAATATTCGAGTTGTCTACATCTTTACAAGTTACATCCTCATGTGAACATGTTTCTGTATCGAAGTTATTATCTCTTTTGTTCTGAATGCGACTTCCTTCTGTTGCTGACTTTTGTTCTTGATCCCATGATTTATTAGATGACTGACTTGTCATAGATTCTACACCAGGTTGGCTATCAGGATTTGTTAGATCTACTGATAAACCCATAGTTGCTTCTTCACTTCCTATACTACAATTTGTAAGTATAAGATTACCAGTGGAATAGTTACCACCACTGCTTGTACGCATTTCAAAACTTGATAAAACACGAAACGTTGCATTTGAGTCAATATCTGTTGAACTTGCCAAACTTAGCTATGTAAACATAACGTCGAAATGAAAAGATGGTTGAGAAAATTGTCATAATTTCAATATTTATTCAAGGAAACGAACGTATCAAGGTTAGACTAAAATCAAAATAAGTGTAATCAATAATATGAGCAGTCGGCCTTGACAAGTCTTTACTGAACAAACGGTTAGATGAACAATAGTTACTCATTAACAATAATCTACTGTGTTAAAAGTGACCTACCTAAATAATGATAATCCTAGTCCTCTTAGACGTTGAAAGTAATATTAATTTTAACTAAAAGACTATAATTTTGTACAGAAAAATGTGATTTTATGACTAGCAGATTTGTCAATTAGAATATGAATGATATGAGAAACTGATTTTTCTCCAGTCCTATGTCATGCCTTCACATCTGAAGAAGGATTATAGATGCCAAATTGTATAATATGGTATATATGTGTTCACATACTGAGTTACTGTATGATAATTGTTGAGTACAACTTAGTTCAATTTCATTAAATCCTGTAAATTATCCATATAAAAATATAGTATTGCCGGATGATTTTTGATTTATTCATGGAACCACATAAGCCATTATCATCAGTCTTTGGCTTGCCACTTAATATCTTTTCTCTGTGTTCAAGTTGCTACATAGATTTAGTCTAGAGTTATTAGAATCTGCTAGGTAAACAGATCAAGTGCTGACGAAGATTTATCAGTATTTAGCTTCACTACTCGATTCAATACTCATTTTAGTGATAAGTTGATCCATTAACCTAATGTACATATACCCTTTTTCCTTCCATCTTTTAATCAATAAAATTCCATCTACTTGGGTTTAATTTCCTCCTACATATGAAAATAGTACTCACAAATTATTACACTTTATATACTTCTTACCCGATTCGCGTCATTTCATGGGATAAATAGTCTCTGATCAGATGTTCGATATAGTTATTAATTATATTATTATTTCTTTTACCATGAGTGACTCAATCTGTAGTTTTGTTATCTTATTTGACTTATTAACTAGCTCCAGAAGTCATTAAATTACCGATCTTTTTGACGTTTGCAAACACTAATAAACTTCTAGTGTTTGTATTCATAAATATATTGTAATTTCGCAATTCCATAAAAGTGAGATATTTGTGATTGGGTTTTTTAACAAACAGTTCTTGTAAATGTAAAAATCTATCCAAAGTTTAATTATATCGGGTATTTTCAATGAATGCTCACAAATATTTGTAAAATACAAAGACGAAATTGCATATCCACAACTAAACAATAGTGATTATAATGGGCTAATTTTCAGGCGGATTCTCAGAGTTCTAGTAAGAAATTATGATTGTTAGAACTTATTCATTTCAGGTGTGAGATAGCCGCCCATTAGTACCATTGGGTAATTGTTGCTCCATGGTACAAATTGACTGAAACGGAAATCGGGGCTATTGTATTACAACTCAGTGGCCTAAATGTAATTTGTTCTTCCAAAACTTAGAGAACCTGGATTTCATCCAACATATGGTCGTTGTTATGGGCAAAAGTCACTTACGAAATGTATATTGTATTTCTGAATGTTGAACTAGATAAGTTTTCTCGATTGTTGAGTGGAGACCCAAATCTGACTCAAAAATGTTTGCGATTCTGTGATTCATTATTTTGGAGATGTTTAACAAATTTTCAATAATTTAGGTAAATCCATTCATGGAAAATACAATCTTTCAGAACTTTAACCAAATATCAATCATTTGAAAAAGCTATAAATGAATAAAAGACATACCGGTCTATCATTTGTGTGACGTCTATCATTTCTAAATGCCGCTGCGTTTACATAATCAGGTGAATCGATTGATTGGATCTCAATATTACGATTACAACGAACTTTTAACCTCAACGCTGTTTGGCTGCTACTGGACACCTCAGATGCATTGCGCATTGAATTTGAAGAAATAAGATTAGTTTCTTGGCAATTTTTGGAGGCTTCTTTGGACCCATCAGATCGTTCGTTGGAAGTTTTGTATCTGCATAAAAGTAGAACGAATTATATATATATATATATATATATATATATATATATATAGAGAGAGAGAGAGAGAGAGAGAGAGAGTAGAAGAATGTTTCGTCTCTAATATATAATTATACTTCTTTATTGAAATTTCAACAGGAACACCGTCAGTGTGACTTCAGAAACAGTGACAGTTTTTGTTTATTTATTCTAGCTGTCTCCGATCAGTTTACTACCAGTCCTGAACATGAGCAAAGAACGTTAGTTTAGGGTCAGTGACTCCAGCCCAAAAGCTGGCAAACAAAGATTACAGAGATGTCAGATTGCTTTTCAAATGAAGATTAAGATGAATGTAAGCTAATGATACACAACGGCCAATGATTAAAACAAAGATGATGAACAACAACTTTGTCTAAGGAAAGAGCCCATCCCATGTAACTCATCAACAACACACCTGCTCATTCTGATGGATAAAACCAGGTATGAATTTATTATCAAGCAACACGGACTTGGAGAGAGGAAAGAGAAACTAGTAAACCTATTGGTTTTCAACAACATGGTTATGGGAGACACCATTTCCCCCTACAAATGCATACACAAATCTACATGGATTTCACCTGACTACACTACAGAAAACTCGATCCTCCAAACGAGAAAGTATAAAAAGAAATCAGACTGTTCATGGAAAGTGTAAGAGCGAAGATGATCACCTGGTAGTGATTGGACAAAATTGAAGATAAAGCATTGGAGAGTTAGATAAACAACACTACAGAAGTTTAATACAGTCCTCCAAGATGTTAAAAAGCTTAGAGAGCTCAACATAGCCCTCAACAAGAACTTCATGGTCTCACGAGTTCCATGGGAAGAAGAAGGAACCATTGTGAAGCAAGATTGTAAAAGCATTGAAAAGGCAACAACTTCCACATGACGGGAGGTGCTGGCCCCAATAAACACCAAAAAAGGACAAGATTCAAGAAGTGGAAAACAAGAATGAATCGATTGGATGAAACTCATCACTGTACAGAAGTAGGGCGCATTTTTTACAAGACCTTGTAAAACAACACAGCATGTATCAACCAACTCACAATGGCGAAGCTCTGGAAAAACTGGAGACCTTTGCATTATTGGGCAACAAAGAGCATCTGATGCAGATTCTAAGGTACCAGTTAATAAAGCAGGAACAACATTCGTACAATTGAAGAGTATCTGGATCCAAAAGAACTGTTACACAATACCAAAATCATAATTTTCAACACTGAAACAGTTCTATAGTATAAATTCAAAACGATGATGACTACCACAGCCATCACCAAGAAGACACAAATATTTACAAACAGCTGTCTGTGCAAGATACTTCAGATTTATTCATCATTGGAAATAACCAAACTGACTCCCAGTCATCATCAGACTGCATCACAAAGTAAGCCCCAACTTGGAATCCTTAAAGTAAGAAGCGAAGAGGTTGACCGAAGATTCAAGAAGGGAAAAACTAAAAATTATCAGTCAGCAATAACTAAACAAGAGTAGAGGAAGCCAGGGTACAAGTTGAGTATACATTGATAAACAGGCAATTAGAAAAGAGCATTAGGGCTGACAACTGGAAATATGTAGAAGATTCGGCAACCATTATAGTAAAATCTGGGGGAAAAAGAAACTTTTAAGAGCAGTGTGATACAACCAAAAACTTTTAGGGAAACATAGTAAACTAGTTCGAGAAAGAAGAAGATAGGTCAATGTAAATCAAGATGAATGAAGCAGAAGGAATAGCTCTTGAATAGATCACTGCTTCTGACCCACCATACATCGAAGCAGCACACGCATACCACCCTATAAATGATAGCAGAAGTTAGTTAGGCCATCAGACATACCAAGAATATAAAAGAAGCAGGACCAGTTATCATATCAGCTGAAGCACTCAAACTCATAGTGAAAGTTTAACAAAAACATTAACATATTTTCACTCAAAAGTGATTAAAAATATAGCAATTATTTCGAAATCGTAGAAACCATAACAGAAACACAAACCTAGAGTTTTCTGGAGCTGAAGTACTTAACTGCTCTTCCTGACCTTCTATATCTTCTGCTGCATTTGACGAAGACAACATCTGTAACTCTTGACTTGCACTCAGATTAGGTGTACTAACACTATTTGTATGTAAACTTTGTTGCTGAAGTAGAATCTGGCGATATTCAGCAAGCAAACGATGAGCAAGCTCAGTTTCCTGGTTCAATTTAAAAAGCAGAAATCAAGATTAAACATTACAGTTGAAGAAATTCTAATACATTAAAGAACAAAAATTAAATGTGCAGCACTCGTAGAACTCAGATATTTCCACAATCTACCCTACTCAGAGCAGGTTTCAACGAAGAATTTTAGGTCTCAATGAAACAAAATCGCTAACATTGTTTGTTGATTATATCAGTAATTTCCTTCTCATGGTACTACCTTAAAAATGCTTACATCAATGGCTATGTCTCACTCTACTAGAAGAGTTGTAGAAAAATTAAACCTTCAATCACTGCTATTAATAAGTGAGATTATTACGATTTATTGTCGCCTTTATTTCTTCTTTAAACTACCCTTAGTTAATCTAATTAGTTTAATGAAATCAGTTCCAGTCATTCGGTAATAAAACAATCTAGCATATGCATCGAGATAGACTTATTACAGAAACTCTCACTATCTTTGTTCTGTGTTTGCTGTTTTACTTTTTTCACTCCAGTTGTGAATGATCATAGGTGATTCATATACAAGTCCTCCTGTTTAGAAAATAATGGTTCCCAACTGCAGCTCCATATTATAATAACGCTCATAACAAATAACTTATAAAAATAATTTATGAACCACAGATTTTAAACAAGTTATCCCTTATCTCTTACCGCACCTCACATTTCTTACTGAATAATGGATCGGCGAAGGCAGTTAGTAGAACATTCTACGCAGCCATGTTCTAGTCGAACATTCAGGTCTCTTCAAACAAAGGACAAGTTACTTGAATTTACTCCTCAATATGCATTCAAAAATTTAGCTGATCCTGTGGAGATAGTTATACTGGTAGTACTACCAGGTAACTTAACCAAAGAAATAATGAACATCTCCCAGAGTGGCTGGAAAAAGACTAGATGGTAATACGCAGCTCTTCCTTAGTACACCTGATTGATATTGGTGGTAATATAGATAAATTTGAACAATTTAAAATGATCTATCGTATGCCCTCATCACTTACCAATGAGGTTCGATCTCGTCTCCTATATATGGCAGAACCTATAACCCCAGTCTATGCGTTCAGAGGAAATTCGTAACACACCTGAATCTTCTTTTTCCGGATGCAACTTAATTTTGAATTTCACCACTACTACTTTTACATCGCGTATTTGTTTGTCATTTTTGCACCTTTCCGTTTATTTTCTTCAATACCTAATTATTTATACACTTCTTACTAGGTAATGAAATCGATGTTTTGTGAACAATATTTTAAGTCTATTTGTCGTAGGTAGACCTATTACTTCAAATATTGGTATTTTACTATTCATACCATTGCTAGTATATATGTCTTCCTATTATGTGTAGTTCAGTATTCTATTTTATTGCTAGTATATATGTCTTCCTATTATGTGTAGTTCAGTATTCTATTTTATTGTGATCATTGACTCATCAATTGCTTTGAATGGTGTAATATTTTACATAAATATTCAAGCAAACATTAGAGTTTAGCAGCATCACAAGAAAAGATCTCACTTGAAATCCTCAAGACCAAAGGAGAAGCGAAAGACCAAACAACACATTACACAAAGAAATGGAAAGAGACATGAGGACGATGAACAACAATCGGATAGAACTAGAAGAGAAGGTCCAGTACAGAGTTATCGACCATAGCTGCTACCTTGACGTGGTGGTCGGGCTTGCCTATCGTGATGACCCAACCGAGCTATACTGGCTGGAACAAATGTTCCTGCAGGTCCTACCATGCCAGGCACGTCGATTGGAGAACGATGAGACTAAAAGCAGCTACCCAAGGTCTGAGGGTGAAGTCGTACTGCTGACTGCAGAGGGGTGTGACAGCAGTAAGGTGTTTCCCCAGGGAAAACCAGCATCTGCAGCGATGCTGCCTTCTCACAAGGAAGGAAGGGTTAGAAAAGGTCAACCCCTACCTTGCCGCACGGATTTCCGTCTCCGGCGGTAAATCCTTCAGAACAAGAAAGGATATACAACTTTAAAAACTTATCATAAAACGGCCGTGCGTGACCAGCTGCAAGCAGTTGTGCCTGGGGCTCTGCAGTCCCGCTCTCAGGTCTTAGGACCAACGCTAATCTACCTTCCATTTTAGGTTCTTCAAGAAACACCCTTTCACGGTGTGGGCAGCCGGGAATTGACAACCGCTGTCATGCCCAAAACAGCAAGCGAGACAAATTTTTTCACAAGCAAAGCCTAACTTCATCCCCTAAAATCTCTTTTATTTCCACGAGTAACTCTTCTCACATTCCTTTATCACCCCTTACTGCTAATGCAAACGATGGGAGTTCACGAAACGTTATTCCAGGTCTCCAGTAACCCCGTCCTAAATTACATGTCGTAGCATTTAATGTTCTGACATTGTATCAAACAGGGCAACAGGCTTCCTTAGCTAGGACTTTAGAATCACGCGCCACAGATGTATGCTGTGTCTCTCTGTTGTCTCTTCGTCGTCTCTGCCTACGCTCCCACGAATTGCAGTTCGGGTGAGGTAAAAGATACGTTTTATGGAAACTTTTATAACATTCTTCAAAAGGTTAACCACTCCGATGTAGTGGTATTAGCCAATACTAATGTAAAGTATTAGGAAAAACACCTTTAGATCTGAAGATCACCAAAGCCGATTCAACGATGGACCCAATTAAACAACATTGCTATCAGTCACCTATGGAGAGGCTCCATTGAAGACAGCCGTTCATTCTGGATCGCTTGTTTGGATTCAGATCACGCTCTAGTGCGAGTGAGTATTTGGCTTATTTGAAGTAGGAAAAAGACTACAAAGAAAACTTTTACGGACCTACTCAATGATAGTATAGCTAAGAATATATTTCAGTAGCAACTGGAAAAACAGTTAGGCGGCGATGTTATTGATTCCCACCAGGAGGCATCTTAGAATGATATCGAAAAAGCTGTGGAGATAGCAATGATATCTGCTAGTAAGGTTAACCATGAGGCTAGGAAGAAGCCATGGATCTCAGTGGCATCTATCGAACTGATTGGTGCTCGAAAACTCATCCCACCTAACTCCTAACACGACGGAGAGCGAAGTCATATTAAGCGCAGGAAGATAAAAAACCCTACACAATGATTGCGAACAGTGGTGGGTAGCGGAATCGAGAGAGATGTAAAAGGCAGCGGCGATAGGCAACAGCAGACAGTTGTTCCGACTCGTCAAGGAAACCGGTATTAGAAATCCATCTGTTAGCGAAACTATCGTAGAAAAAAATGGTCATATTATTCATTCGAAATCCAGGAGATTGGGTTGACGGGCAGAACACTATAGGGATCAGTTCAACTGGCCTTCAGCCACACTTTAATTGCCCACGATCTCCAGTCATTCTGAATGGCAGATCGATGAGATCAGAAAGGCTACAGGCAATCTACGGAGAGAGAGAGAGAGCAGCAGGACCTGATAGATTGACACCTGAGATTTTTAAGGACAGTGGTCAAGTTTTAGCAGCTAGATTGACTGAGATTTTAGGTAGAATCTGGGAGCTAGACGAGACAAAAGTCTTCTTGTGACAATCACAGAGGAATAAGTCTAGCCAATGTAGTATTGAAAATATTGGCCTCAATAATACTTCGACGCTTAATGAAAGCTCGTGAAGAGCAAACCAGAGAAAAACAGGCTGGTTTTTGATCTGAACGAAGATGTATAGACCAAATATTCACGCTACGTCAGGTCCTAGAAAAAGACACACGTTCAGACGCCCGAAAATAGTAGTATTTCTCGACCTAAGAGCAGCATTCGACTCTGTTGACTGCGAGGTTCTGTGGCAGTGTCTGTCATTGAAAGGAAGTACAAAGAAGTATATTGACCTCATACAGGCTCTCTACTCTAACACTACTGGTCGAGTGAGAGCTTATGGTGAAGACATTGACAAAATGCAGTCTTCTGACTATCCTAAGCAACAATGCAAGCGTGTTCGGGATGCGATTCTCCCCGTCGAAATGCAAAATGTTGCTTCAATATTGGATTGCATCGGCACCTGAAGTAGTGATAGGTAGTGGAGTAGTCGAGAGTATAGACTAGACTAGACTAGACCAGCCATTATTACTATATCAGAGCGCGTAACGTTTTGGAGGAGGTCCGATAGCTTTCTGTAAAACTCATCTTTCACCTAATCTGATCTGCAGTCAGTGGGAGGGTTGGCAGATACGACGTCTGTGTTATACGGTATGGCAAAATGTTGCTTCAGGACTGAGTTGCATCGGTACCTGAACTCATGATGGGGAGTGAAGTTATCGAGCGTGTATACCGCCTCACGTTTCTCGGGAGTCTCATCAGTGATGATGGCCTGGTGACTGACGAAATTTCAGCACGGATACAGAAGGCTAGATTGGCATTTGCCAAGCTGCGTCACCTATGGCGCAGGCGAGATATCCTTACGCTAACTAAAGGACGAGTCTATTGCACAGCAGTTCGTCCTACTATATGGATGCGAAACATGGCAGGTAAGAGTAGAGGACATTCGCAAGTTATTAGTATTCGATTATAGATATCTTCGGAGCATTGCTCGAATATCTTGGGACAACCGAGTTAGGAAACGGGTGCTAGGTAAGGATGGCAGATCAGTAGATGAAGGGAATCGACTGGTAATCAGCGTCAGATGTAATGTTATTAGTCGTAAGGGAATGCATAGTTTAGTTACTAATATTCAGGACTGAAATAATTTATCTTTGTTGAATATGGGATTTTTTGAAGGGAACCTTGGTGTTATCTGCTTTTACAAGTTGGCTTGTAATGTATACTAGTCAGTTACAACAAAGAACTTCGTATGTACGTACATCAGTTCAGGTTACCGTACCGCATGAACACAGAGAAGCAACTGCCGATTCAAATCCACCAGTGGTAGCGATAGTAAAAGTATTAGTAGTATTATCCGATTCTCCAAGTAATGTCAATAAATATTAGTATTTTATGCTAATATTTTCAACATGAACTTTGTATAGATCTAAAGTTAACATGTTTATGTTATTTTAGTGAATATGAGTCTTAAATGCTTCTTTTATAAAATTATTATGATTATGATTATTTACGTGAGACTTTAATCATTAGCCTCAATGATTTTAGTTCAGGTTTATTTTTCTCATCTTATGTTTGAAATCTCTTCAGAACTTTAGTTAAAAAGCCATGTGTGATTATATTATTCCCGTAATGGTACACTTACCCTTAAGTTAGTCAGACTCAACAGCTGATGAATATCAGAGTTTGTAAGTAGATGCATTGTGCCAGATGTCGGACGTGGTATACTACATTGGTCGGATGAACTAGATGTTGTTAATGTGTTACTTGATGGTTTATTTTCGAGTTCCTGACTATTTTCCATAGTATCAGGTGAGCAATTTTCATTATCAACCATGGATTTACTTTTGAGTTGGTTATTCGAAGACCACATATTAATCACTGGGCTTACCTCTCTATCATCCTTCGAGAGGTTACAAGCTGACAAATTCATATCTACATTGGTCTGTTGTCGGAAATTAAATTCATTTTCTTGACATAATGCTTGAGATATTTCTCGAGATATTTTATTATCACATGACTGGTTAAACGACTCTTCCCATAGGAGGTTAGGTCGAGTGACTGGTGTAGTTGGTGTTGTGGAAAATTGGCTTTGGCATAAGTCATCGTTTAGCGCATGTTTTGCAGTTTGACACTTTTCAGACATGTCTTCTTTACCTATAGCTTCAGTAATTTTTGTATAAGATATATCAGGATTAACAAGTGAACCATGGTTGAAATTCGATTGTTCATATTCTGGCACATTATATATAGGTCTACTAGGATGGCATTCAGTAGGTGATGAGCAATAGTTATCTGACGTAGAATTAACAAACTTTCTTGGTGGTGTGACAGCTAAACGATTAGCTTCATTTAGAGTAAGTGGACAGGGAAAAAGACGCCAGGATGAAGAGGAAGAAGTACGCAGGTTCCCTTGTTCTTGTTGACTTAACTGATTTGATGGTCTTGAGAAGTTCCTCGATTGTAAGCTGGACAAAAAATTATTTTTTGGTTCCGAAACCAAATCAACTTTATTCAAGTTAGATTTGTTGTATAGTTCATTATCTTTGGGATGTTTTATTTCATTATCAGTTAATTTTGGATTTGCATCAAAATTAGAACTTGATGTTAAGAGTACATTACTGTCATGCAAATCACCTTTGATAACATTTATTTGTTTATTGTTATTAATCTTAAATGATGTTCTTGTAGGACTGGGTGGTAGTAAGTGAATTGTTGGTGGCAATATTTTTGTCTCATTTACAGGTGTATACTTTGAATCTTTCGTTGAAGATTTCGATTTTTTGGAATTTGCATTATCCATACTAGATTGTTCTAGATTCATTAGTACAGTAGTCCTAGGATTATTCAAGTTGGAACTGACTGAATGCGAATAGGATTCACTGGCAGATCTTTCAATACGTCCGATGTTTGATTTAGACTGGTTATTTATATTTTGACTTGCTTTAGGTAATAAAGGATTAGACGTAACACCTAAGCATTGTTCCTTCTCAGATTTAGTAACACGGCTTTCACAGAACTAAAATAATGTACAATAAAATATGTATTCATTTTTTTGTCAAAGAAATAAGCAATATTCTTATCATTCGTATTAATCACAGAATTAGTAAATATGTTGCCCACTTGTGTATCATAAAAAATAAAACATGTTTAACCTACAAATTACTATACGAGGTAAAAAAAATTCACTGAAACCTTTAGCTTCAAATCTGGGGCGATTCCATGAATCACTATTATCTTTGTTGCTTGACTTCTGTAATTTAAAATGTAGGCTTACATTTTATAAGTAGCACATCACAACATATTGTTGATTTAACTTTGCAGTATTTACTGACAGAAACCAAACTATTTGGGAATCATGAAATACTATTACGAATGTTTGATGTAACAAAATGAAATACAAACCTATGAATTCAGTGTAATTTAAGATATATCTGCTATACAGTTTGGATTGAGGCTGAGTTTTAACCCAATTTTGTTAGGCTTCTTGTGCCTGCATATATATCCACAGTGACTGGTAATAACTTAAAATTGAAGATTAAATTTGTGGTAATTTAGTATTAACTGAAATTGTTAGGTGAGGAATACAACATAAAATAAGACGGTAGGTGCTTAAGCTTTTCATTAAGCTTACGATGTAAAATACAGTTAAGGACCTTAGTTACAAACATTTACTTTCACAGCAAAAAAATAATGAGGTTCAGACAGTTAACCTACATTTCCAGACGTTTGATAAGAAAGAGGAGCTGAAATATTCATTGTAGTTACTCGACTAGTCGTACTGTTTGCCCATCCAAATGGAATACGATGTTTGGCAGATGAAAACCAACGTTGAAACTCCTGAAGTGGATTAACTGATGAACTTAAGTGTGTAGTTGATTTGTGGATATGTGACGATAATCCATCAAATGTTTCTTTAGAACTATGGTGGTTTTGTGTGTACCGAGTAGTTACAGCTTCGAAATCAGGCTTTTGAATATTGGCTTCGGGGACCATTGAAGTTGTGGCTTGAAATCGTCTAAAATTAATCGAGCTCACAAGTTTAATCAATCGAAATTTGAAAATTAAAAACTATTGGATAACCATTATATAAACATAAAGAAGTAAGTCTAATTTTTTATACATTTTAAGACTAAGTTTCGAAAATATTCTCCGTAGGAAATATGTGTAGAACCACTCATTAAATAATTTATCGTGTAAAATTTTAATAATCGCTTTTGTAGATGATGTATATACAAACAGCAACTAAATCTAATATTTTCTATTTTATCAGCTTCGATGCTATAGAAGCTGTGGTTTACTCAACCATTGTACTAAGTTTCTGGAGATACAGCTCTGATATTTCTGCATTTAAATATCTGAAGTCAGTTTGGGATACAAACTATCTTGCGCTGATTGATCGTTGGAACATCAGGGACAATAAGTGATTGTTTCCACCTAGTCTAAGATTTTCTAAATGTATACCTGTGACGCTGAGAGGAGTGGAACCTAAGACCGTTAGGTATGACAATGAGTGATTTAATTTTAGACCACCAAGAAATTAGTCAACAGAAACCAAAGCGTTCTGAAATGTTAGAATAGTTAAAAAATTTATATATGTACGAAATGCTGTCATTCGGATCCTATTAACAGGAGGAAAGTGATGGATAAGAATTCCATAGCCTAATGAGTGCAGAAGCGTAAATGAAACATTTGAAAAGTATGGTGGAAAACCTCTAGCATTTATTTTACAAGTGAAAGTGACAGCGTTTTAAAAAAAAGAAAGGAGAATAGTTAAACAGAAGTAGTGACTTTTCTTACTTGAAAATCGCTGAATTAAATGTTTAAAATACACTATTCTGTTTAATAAAAGTGCAAATAAAATGCACTTTCCAAATCTTTAACACAATGTCTAAAAATATCCATATTGGGTTTTTTCTGGACAAAAGTTTGGGGGAGAATTAGCGAAATGAGGTTAAAATTTATCCAAATGCCAATTGTCGCATACAAAGCTGCTATAAATATGTTTTTTCATATAGTACTCAATGTTGGTTGTCGGAGTAAATAGAAGAGTCATAAGAAATAGTTTGAATATTTTGGATACGATAATACCGACTGCATTTAGTAGGGAAGTGATTCAATCAGTGAGGTTTCAAGGGACGTTGATTAATATCCAAAGATATTGTTTAGGATATTTTATAACTAAAATCGTTAACGTATATTAATTTCTTTTTGATTTCGATTTGGAATTTGTACATCTTCGTCTAGTATTTTCTATTATACATTAATATTTGTTGACTTTTTACTATAGCGTTGACTAACAAAACAATTAGCGGTTTTCAAAGTTCCGAATTTAGATATGACTAAGTTCAATATTCGGTTCTCATAATTATGATTCAACATGGATAGTAGTATTATCTAAATAAATAAATTTAGTGAGAACTTAAATTTTAGAATTAAGTAGAAGTGGAAATTTATAAAATGTTTTACAAAATAAAAATTTCTCTTCAGTCACTATTAATATGAGTGGTTATATGATTAAATCAAATATATTTTATAAATTACTTCATTTGGGACTGAGGTCGGTAATGTCGTTGGCTTAGTCCGCTCAGTAATGGCAGAATCCCACCACTATTTGATTGAATTAATTCATGCCATAATTTTCGACCATTTGCAAATGTGGAACCTGAACTTGAATTTATCCCACGTGTATTTGACTTTGATGGACTTTTAAAAGTTACATTATTAGCTGAAGTACATAAAGAGGCAGCGAAACCAAATGATGTTTTTCTAGCTTCATTTGTTTCGAAATCAGTTTGTGTAATAGAATTACTCGAACTACTTGAAGTCGATGAACTGCATGACTGATGTTGCGCGGCATGAACAAGATCAGTTTTTTTAATACTAGCTGTACAACTTGAAGAAGAAGAGGAAAATGATGCTCTTGGAGAAACTAACACACGTTCAGATGAGCTGTCTGAAGAGACTAGAGATGAGGGAGATGATTGTTCAGGACATACCTCTTTTTTACTTAATACAACAGTCACTTCTGGTAGATGAATTGGCGTTAAAGGCCCACAGCAGTTTATATTCTCATGTCTATTTGTCACTTCGGTCGTAAGATTTATGTCTGGTTTGATTTGCTCTTCATGATGATGTTTTGCTTGACGATGCTTGTGTGCACGATGACTTCTAGTCATTTTATGATCTACGGTTACTTCGCTTGCGTGGTGTTGTTTACGTTGAACAGAAGGGGAATCTCCATGATTCATTTGAATTTCTTTATTACTAAGAGGTAATGAAGAACCACCAGTTTTGGAGGGTAGTGGGTCAGTAAGAGTAGTCTTTGATTCTTTTGACACCGAAGAGGCTGAGTTTGCTCCTCCACTTTTTAAGAGGAACCATCCGGTTGGCCGTAAACATTCCTTTCCAGGAAGACATGTCACACAGCCTTTATTTAAGAGTTGGGAATCCAGTGTCCCTGCACCGCTTCTAAGACTCCAGTGGCCAACAAGAGTTCCAGACTCAGAATCTGCATTTTGTTCTTTAAAATCTGCATTCGCAGTTGCTATTTTGTTAGTATAAGTATTTTGGATAGAACTAGAATTACATGAAACCACGCAAGTAGCTTCACTTGGTCTTCTTGGAGAGGGATTAATCCTGAATGTCCGGTTATCACTAGTCAGTGTTGTAGTATTCTTCTCAATTTTAAACTGATCCATCAACCTACAGTGATCAGTTAATTTAACTGAGTGTTGTGGATCTGCATCCTTTGATTGTGTTTTCTTAGATTCATCATTTACTGGTTCGATATCGTATTTAGTACACTCCTGACCTAGGAAGTTATAAATGAGAGTTAAACGATTTTAAAGAAATATTATGTTGACTAAAAATTTAATTAAGCAGACAGCATAAAATTCTTTACTGAATTTTGTATCTATCGGTTACAACACTTAGTACCAAACGGAGCTAAATAATATCAATCAAAACTAAACGAACATCTGAATGATGTTTCAAAAATATCGGTAGCCTTTAAAATGAGCTAAGCGAGAGGAACTGGTTCATAGACAATAAGAACTTCTGGATACAAATGTAAACTGATAGTCAACAAAGTTAGGGAAAAATATAGACATATTACCGAATCCTGACCACTTTCAAGTTATTATTTGAATTCTTCAAAAGTTTTTATGAGTGAACTGTCAAGTGGTAACTTTCTTAGTGTTATTCTATACTTTGAATGATTTATATGACGCCACTTACAATCGGCGATCAACATCACAATTATAGTTCTGCAGTTTACTATCGTAAAACAAAATTGACAAGTTGTTTTGTTTCGTTGAATGCAACAAAAAAACAAAGTAAAATCAACTTATTTTGCGAAATCTGAAAGTATGTGTTAAACAGAATCTCATTAGTATCGCATAAGAGAAAAATGAATAACATGTTATGAAAAACACACCTTAATTGGATACATTTACCAGAAAGCAGACTGAGATATTGGAAACTCAAAGCGCAGCCTCGAGAAATAATACCAGTATGGTCGATTTGTGATTGCAGGACTATGACGATAGGATTGAAGTTAATGGAAAAGTTTCAATCATTTTATTTTCAACGTTTGGACTTGTGCTTCAATGACTATTACTACACGAAATGTTTCTTCAATTAACCAACTTTGATTTATAATTTATTTCAAATAAAGAATTAACAGACTGAATTTAAGTTTAGAATAGTGACCTCTTCTTCGTCCAGACTAAGAATATATCTTTAATGAACATACTGTAATTGAACAACCTGCTTAAATCTACTCACAATTTTAAGCATTATTTAAAGTGATATAATCGTGCATCTGCCTGTATTACATGGAGGATTATTAAAGTCGAGCACAACAGTCTGCGACAATTTTTCGAGCTTAGCCTGTTGGCAAAGTCACTAATTAGCACTTGATAGCTATTAAAGTAAAACATTGTTTCTGAACATGCTTTTCATAAACAGATAACTCAAACTGATCGTAGTTGGAATATACTTCTTGTCGTACTCAGGAAAAGTAATATGTGTTTAGAACATGCCACACAACAAAAATTAATATTTAACAAATATTTTGAAAGTTTCGAAAGTCAAACTGAAAAAAATTTCTTTGCACTACGAGTTCCAGCGTATTTGTTGCCATGAACAGATACCTTGAAAATCGTAAATTGGTGAATAGTCCATCCATATTAATTACTTACATGCGTCTGTGACCACCAAAGAACATTGGCTACTAACTAGGATTCTCCAACTGACTGTTTCCTAGTTTCTCCCCTTCCAATCGCTGCTAAGTGCTGGTTATTCTTTTGATGTCTATCTATAACTCTGCTTAATTTGTTCTTTGGTCTTCCTATTTTCTATTTATCTTTGAGGATTCTAAGTTATGGCTTGACTCGTTACACAGTTTGATGATTACCTTAATGCGTATCTTACCAACCACCATAGACTTCCTAATTTTCTCTCCAGTTGGAAGCTGGTTTGTTCTCCACCACAGTAGGTTGTTGTTGAAGGTGCTCGTTCAGTAGGTATGTAGTACCTTGCTGAGACAGTTGTTTGTAAGGACATTCATCCTCTGGATAATGGTTCTCGTAGCTCTCCAATTTTCCACTCCATACGATAGAACTATTTGATGTTTGTAGTGAAAATTCTGACTTTTGTGTTGGTTGGTAGTTGTTTTGAGTTCTAGATGTTCTTCGGTTGCAGAAATGCTGCACTTTCACTAATCGATGTATTCACATTCGCATCAGATCCCCCTTGTTTACTCATATTGTTGCCGGGATATCTCTTCCAGAGCTTCCTCGTCAAGTTTGATTTGGTAGTTGCTTGTTGTGTTTTATATAAAGATGTTGTTTTCCCCCCTATGTGTTGAAGCCTGCTTCTGTAGACGCTGTAGCTATAATGACCGTCAACACCTGCATTTTTTGCTGTGTATGATATAGAAGAGCTGGGTCATCTTTGAAGTTCAAATCATCTAGCTACATCGAAGTTGTCAACTGGATTCCGTGCTTCCGCCTGAAATCTTGGGGTTTTCATAATTCAATAAACCACCGGGAGAGAGAAAGGGTGAGAGTAAATAGCCTTATCTGACAATGGTCTTCAATAAGAATGCACCTGTAAGCTGTCAATCATGTATGACTTTGCAGTGCAGTTTGTCACAAGAATTATGTGTGATGTTAACATTCATATCAGGTAAACCTTTTTTTATAGTGACGAGTCCCATTTAATTATTTGATCAACAGTGATCCATATAGTCATGATTTGGTCGATAGATGAATGATTCTCAAAAAATTCGACTTGTTGAGCTCGAAGTTGGGCGTTTGCGAAATCATTTATTCAGTTCAGGAACACTTCTGGAAACGTTTCCTAACACTCATAATAGTGCGATGCCTCTATAGTTCCTTACAGTTACTGAGGTCTCATTTCTTTGATACTAATGTGATGAAATTCATTGAAATCCCCATAAGAACCCCAACCTATAAGCGCACTTTATGCTTCTGTGAACAGCATCAGTGCAACTCCTTGTGCATATGAGGCGTTTAATTCTTGATAGCCGGTGGACATCAGCATCTATCCTAAAGCTCGTCTTTTTTTGTCCAGGCTGTTTCCAATGTGTTTCATTTGTTCCAAGCACACTAGGATGTTTCTTTTCATCTCTGGAACACTCTTCAGATCTCCCACATTGTGCGAATACTCCATGTGATTTTTGAAGAAACTCGTTTTTCACCATCCTAACTCTTCTAAATAAAGACACTTCAACTCCCAGAGTAGGGATAAAACAGTATAAATAATTTCTTTTGTTAGCGTTTTTTGTCAGAATTGTTTTCTAAAGGATGGAATTGGTAATCGAATTTCCGAGCCTCCTCCTTTGTCTGGGATTTAGACCGGCAGTAAATCTAGAATAACTCTAGGCAGAACAATTCCACAAATAATATAGTGAACTTTGACAACTTAAATTCAAGAATGGACTAAGATTGTTTTAATGCAATTCATAGGTAATAAACAATGCTAATTAACAAAATTTGTTTTTACTTGGTTGTTGAGAGGTTGATAAATCTGTTGTAAAATCGTTCAAGACCTAAATACGTTTAAAAAAAAGAGTATCCATATTAACAAAGATATACACTGATCACTTAATGTGGATACGAAAATATTATTGTGAAACAAATTATTAAATGATTAAAGTTTATTAAAAGTATAATATTAATTTATGATCCCTTTTAAATAATCAAATAATCTTCGTTAAAAATGTAAAACTTAAAACTCAGGAAAGAGACTTCTTCTTTAGAGAACTCATAATCAAGTTGTACATTCATTATCAAATATATATGGAATAAATCTGGATTCTGAGCATAGCTTCTTCCAGTAAGTTTTTCTTCTAAAGAGGCCAGTTTCTTCATTATCATTTTCTACACCATTGATAGTTCGTGCTCGATAACAGTAAAAACCAATTAAATTTATTGACATGCGTCTATGGAAGTTTGTTAACTGGTCATCCCATATCTGTTTCTTTTAATGATTCTGTCAGCCCATTCGTTGTAAGAAGTACATTGAAAAATGATCTAGATAAACCAAATTCCACTTCAGACATAGATCACAAGTTTAGGTAACAAAGGCAGAGTGGACGTCAGGTTGAACGAACTTCTCATCGCAACTTAAAAACGTATCATCTTTTTTATCTTCATTAAAAGACGAAGCGCTGGTTGACAGAATTAGCTTTATTGTGTTCAAAAAATAACCAAAAATGGATTGATAGGTAATAATATCACATCTCTAAATTTTTTCAATAAACTTCGTTGATGAAATTGATTTAAGCGTTCAAGGTTTTCTCTTGTCTTTAAGAGCTACTCCAACAGTGTATGCAAGAGAATTTTTTGGAAACATTTTGTCCATTAGAAAGAGTTTGTCAGAAGGTTTACATTTTACTAACGAGTTACATCTAAGTATACTTCTAAATATATTTAATTTTTATTGTTTCAAAAATTTCAAGTTACTTCTACACTTACCGGTGAACCCGAATGAGTATAGCGTAGCTCTGTACCTCTTAGTATATCCCTAGAATAAAAAGAAATAAAGAATCATTTAGTCGATGATTTCAGTTTCAGTTACATTTGGGTAAAATAACGGATAGATGTTTTATGATGACTGGTCATAAAGTTAAAGCTTTTCAATCTTTTCAATTATAATTTTATTCCAATGAAGTTACGCAGGCTAAGCAAAACCAGTAGAGTTTGGTGTTAAGGTTACTGTACTTTTAAGATACTTTCTTAAGTCCTGATTTAAAATAGTCCGAGATATATTATTTTATATAATCTATAGCTCAGAGAAAAAATACATACTGTATATGAAAGTGGAACAGATACGTGTAAACACTGATGCTATCTGATAGAGGGACAATAAACTCAGGGAATATGCCCTAAAGGGAAGCGACGTGTTTAAAAAATTTAAACGATTGCTACCAAATTATATTTAAAATAAGATGAAGAACTAATACATATATAGTAATGATCCCATTTCTGAGTTATATGAATAAATTATTATACTTCTATCAGATAAATTATAGGACGAAGTCTCTCCTCTTCGTTCTAGCTTACTAGTTGCACCTGTTACATAATAACAGTACTTCAAAAGCCATAAAAGGAGAGATGTTTTTCGATAAGAGAGCCTTTTACTCCCTGGAGAAGTCAAAAATGTGAAACAAACCAGTCCACTTATGTATTAACAACTATGAACTTGGGCACACCTGGACATATAGAAAACTAAAATAGAGGGAAATGGTCAAATAATGATATGGGCCAATATGATAGTATATATATATATATATATATATATATATATATATATATATATATATATATATATAAACTGAAAGTGGCAACTTACGGAGGTTCTGAGATGTGAACTGCCGGTTGTGGTGGGACCGATCTAAAATAAAAGTGAATTTATTAGATTCCTGTTTCGAAGATTATTAACAACTCTAAGAGCGATAGAACTGAATATTATTATTAAACTTGAACAAATATTACTTCAGAATTTCTGTCCAGCTGTTGTTTGCTAAAATCGGAACCAATGTACTCTGAATTAGTGATTCCAAGCTTGGTTTCAAAACCGGATGTCTTATGTCCAATCCACTCAAAAATCAAGAGCCCTAAGCTCTGAAGAAGCTTTTTTCTTGTTTTCTTTGGTTCCCCATTTGAGGTCAGTTTGTGATCAAAAATCATGTTCATAGGAAAGCTAATATTAATCTAAGATTGAATACACCATTTCCAAAAATTCTAATCGATTAGATTACCTCATGGCACTGTATATCGAATTATATATCACTTATTTACATACTTGGTGCAGGGAACTATGCTGATAAATACAAACTAGACTACAAAATTAGACTCAGGCCACACTTTTATTTTTGGAATAAGAGAAGGCTATTTATCTTTATATATATATCTTATGTATTCGATCAACGATTGTTTATTTAATCCATCTGTCCCTTTCTCATACTATCAATGTTGTATAGGCAGACAGCTCATCCCCAAGACAGGAATAAAACATCTCTTTGTGATTTTTCAGCTCATACCTATTCGGAATATAAGCTTTTACAAATTTTTGCAACAAACTTATAGTATGGTTTCTTTCTTAGGTCCTTACACACTTTCGTAATTTAAACGCTTACATCTAACCTCTAGAGGTTTATAATTAACTTTTTTTCTCTATTCATACCGAAATATTTCATATATATATATTCAAACCCTTTAACATACTTTACATGTGTCCAATAATCAATATAGCTACTGTGCATCTGAATACAGAACTGCCATAAATAACGCGCCCTTTCATAATCCTCCTGCAGTACATAAATGAGAATAAAAAAATTTCAGATTTTTTTAAATATAAATAATCACTGAGACCAAAATAAACATTGCAAATTCTAAAATCTACAAACTTTATAACTATGAGTTCTAATGAAGCATAGTGTCCTTTTTAAATTGTTTTTTAGTTTGTTTTAGCAGCAGAAAGTTCATCACTAACAAGAAAAATCAACATTAAAAACACTTAAGAAAATATATGTTGGGATAAAAATGCGCTCACAATGATAAGGAGGGAAGAATTTATATTAAGCAAGAATATCTATATTACATTTTGCTGAGTGCTGTTGTTTGACACGATACTTATTTTTCACTGATCGCCAAGTGGCCATTTAAGTTACAATGGAAACTTTGCATTTGATTTACGTTATTCAATTTTAAAATTAGATTAGTAGTTTCGTGTATATATCACAGTATTATATGAATCAGATAAAGATTCTGAGGTTATTCATTTTAACTACGGTTTAAAACACATTGACATAACTTTGTTACTAAGTGATTAGTAGTTGGGCGTTCATAAGTTATCATCAATCAGTTATACTTCAAGGTTTGATGGGACACTATCTGCTCTTCATGAATATGTACATGCATCGATACTCTCTCTCTCTCTCTGAGTAAATAATAGCAACAGGCGAATTCTATTCCACGAAATTTTCGTTTAAAAAAGTTTGGCAAACATCAGGTAAGTTTTGATAACACGAAATTTCAGTTCAGTTAATGACTGCTGATTGATTAATCCGTTATAATTCATTCATTCTCAAGTAAATTCATTAATGAATAAACCGTATTTCAGCTTGTGTTTTCGTTTTATGCACAACAATCTATTTCTTGCTTGTAATTGACTCGTATTCTCAGCTTAAACAAACTTTGATTCAACTTAAAACGTCTAAAGCAGTGAAAGAAACTCAAGTTGAAATGATTCGATCAGCCTTGGTTGACATATGGGCATTCCATATGGATTGCCTTGATTTAGCCGTTATGACACAAGTTTATATATATACCTATCCTATTTAAACCAAAAAACTGTCATTTGGTCAAATTAAAATTAAACTTTCGGTAATTTTTATCGACTGTGGCCTAACAATAAATATCAAAGCAATATTCTACTTCCAGTTAAATTAATGTAGTTGGGTGAAATAAACCTTTTTTAGCATATTGTCAATGCAAAGGGAACTATTGAAGATTATGCTCATAATACTTCAATAAATAATCGTGATGACATAGTTTTTAACCGCTTATCATAAATCAACAAACCGTTACAGTTTGAAATGTTTTTTTACATCAGACTCATTTTATTAGTTACATTTCCTTAACTATACGCTGTAAACGCACGTGCGTAGCTGCTACCTTGACGTGGATGTCGGGCTTGTTTACCCTTATCACCCAACCGAGCTATACTGGCTGTAACAGATGTTCCTTTAGGTCCTACAAGGCCAGACAGGACGATTAGAGAAAGGTAAGACTAAAAGCAGCAACTCAAGGTTCTAAGGGCACATTAGTACTGCCGATAGCAGAGGGGTGTGACAGCAGTTAGATGTTTACCTCGGACACTCAGCATCTCCTGCGATGCTGCCTTCCCACGAGGAAAGAAGCGGTCAGAGAAAAGGTAGACAATAAAAATGTCACACCTCACCTTACTTCATGGATTTCCGTCTCCGGAGGTAAGGTTTTTCAAAAAGAGCGGAGCTAACACTTTAAAAACTTCTCATAAAAAGGCCATGCGTGACCGACTTCGAGCAGTTGACTCTTTGGCTCTGCGGCCACGCCTCCAGGTCTCTAAGACCCTCACTAATCCTATTTCCTTTCCAGGTTCTTCATGAAATACCCTTCCACGGTGTAGGCAACCGGGAAGTGATATCGGCCGTCATACTCGTAACAGCACACGAGACAAAACTAGTCACAATCAAATCTTTCTTATACCTCCTAACACCTGATCTGTCTTCACAACAAACCATTCTCACTTTCCTTTATCACCCGTCATCGCTAATGCAGATGATCTGAGTTCAGGAAGCGTCCTTCGTGGTCCCCTGAAACCCCATTCTAAATTACGTATTGGAGCTTTCAATGTCCGGACATTGTTCCAAATAGGAAAATAAACCTCTTTATCTAGGACGTTAGAATTTCGTGCCATCGATGTGTGTTGCGTCTCCGAAAAGCAGATACAGAATCCCAGAAGAACCATTATTTGATTTTATTCGGTCCAGATGAAGAACCGACTTGGTTTAAGCTTCGAGTGTCTGGTAGCCCTAATGATGCTTTCCGTGGCCTCGATGGCTTAGGCATTGCATTGAGTTATGGAGCAAAGCTAGCTTTCTTAAACTGGGTCCCATTAGACAATCGCTTGTGCCCTGTCAGAATAAACGGAGATGTCAGAAGTAGGAAAGATAGGGACACTCGCCGTTGTCTCTGCCTACGCTCCCACTAACTGCAGTTCGGGTGAGGTAAAAGATAAGTTTTACGGAGACCTTCTTAACCTTCTTCGAAAAGTTAAGCACTCTGATGTAGTATTAGTGGGGGGTGACTTCAGTGCTCAAGTAGGTAGACTAGGTGAAAAGGAAAGACACCTGGGTTGATCTTTCGGTGTCGTGGCTCAAAGATCAGATAGTGGCGATCGTCTACAGCAACTGTGCTTAGATAACTGCCTATTTCTAGCCAATACTAACGCAAAGCATTAGGAAAAACACCTTTAGATCTGAAGATCACCAAAGCCGATTCAACGATGGACCCAATTAAAAAAAAATTGCTATCAGTCACCCATGAAGAGGCTCCATTGAAGACAGCCGTTCATTCTGGATCGCTTGTTTGGATTCAGATCACGCTCTAGTGCGAGTGAGTATTTGGCTTATTTGAAGTAGGAAAAAGACTACAAAGAAAACTTTTATGGTCCTATTCAATGATAGCATAGCAACTGGAAAAACTCTTAGGTAACCATATAAGTGATGCTCTGACAGAGGTAGCTTGGAATGGTATCCAAAAGGTTGTGGAGACAGCAATGATATCTGCTAGTACAGTAAACCATAAGGTAAGAGAAAAATAGTGGAGCTGGATAGCATCCACCGAACTGATAGATGCTAAGAAACTATCCCATCTGGCCCTGAACATGATGAAGAGTGGAGTCAGACTAAGCGCAGGCCGACAGAAAGCCTATGAAATGATAACGAAAGCAAGAGAGATGTAAAAGACGACGGCGATAGGTGACAGCAGATAGTTGTTCCGACTTATCAAGGAAACCGGCATTAAAATTCCATCTGTTAGCGAAAGTATCTTAGAAAAGGATGGTCTTATTATTCGTTCTCAATCCAGGAGATTGGATCAATAGGCAGAACACTTCAGAAATCAATTGAACTGGCCTCTAGCCACATTTCGGTCGCCCACGATCTCCAGTCATCCTGAATGGAAAATCGACATCAGTCCTCCGGTTCTAAATGAAGTTGAGAAAGCTGTAGGAAATCTGAGGCGAGGGAGAACAGCGGGTCCTGATAGGCTTACACCTGGGTTTTTTAAGGATAGTGGTCCGGGTTTAGCCATAGTGAGACTGACTGAGAGCTTAGGTAGAATCTGAGAACATCACATAATCCCATCTTACTGGTCTCAATCACTGATTGTCCTATTCCATATGATAGGACAAAAGTCCTCTTGTGACAATCACACAGTAAACTGCTTGACTAATATAGTGCCTAAATTGTTAGTCTCGATAATAATTTGACGCTTAACTATAGCCCGTGAAGAACAGACTCGAGAGAATCAGACTGATCTGAGACGTGGCTGTATGGACCAGATATTCACAATTCATCAGGTCCTAGAAGACAGACACACGCTCAGACGTCCGAAAATAGTAGTATTCGTTGAACTTAAGGCGGCATTTGACTCTGTTGATCGTGAGATTTCGTGGAAGCGTCTGTCATTGAATGGTGTAGCAAATAGAAACACTAATCTTATACGTGCATTCTACTAGAACACCACTGGTCGAGTGAGATTTTATTTGATTACTTAAAGTGGTGTTCGTCCACTCTTTCCATTCTTATTCAACATTGTCATTGATATGCTTTTAGATATGACAATTTCGTCATCGAACATCTCAGGAACTGACCTTCTTCTGGGAGTTTCGCTTGATGAACTAGTATATGCCGATGAAATAGTTTCGTTTGGTGAAGAATCTGATAAAATGCAGAGTCTTCAGACTACCCTAAGCAACGATGCAAGGATGTTGGGAATGGGATTCTACTAGTCGAAATGCAATTGTTGCCGCAGAATCGGCTTGCATCGGCACGCGAACTAGTTATAGGAAGTGAATTAGTTGAGCGCGTATAAGCCAAAGTACGAGTTTTCTGCGCATCAGTCCGCTCCGTCCTACTATACGGGTATCAAGCACGGCAACTAAGAATAGAGGTTATTCGAAGGTTACTAGCATTCGATCATAGGGGTTTTTGAAGCGCTGCTCGTATATCATGGGACCATCGCGTAAGTAACAATGGTTCTACAAAAAGGATACTAGTTAAGGATGGCAAATCAATAGAAAGAGTATTGAAACTTCAACAATTAAGATGGTTTGGGTATGTGTTACCTATGCCCAATCACCGATTGCCTCGAAAGGCGATGTTTTATGGTGTAGGAGTAGGTAGGAAAACAGCTAGAAGCGGCCTAACCGAAACATAGCATAAGTCCATGAAGCCACTGACAAGTGGAGTAAGCCAAGTTGTTAGGTGTAGACTGTCAGACTGGGGTCCGCGAGATGACAGTAATCGATGGTTAGAGACCTTGAATGACATGGCTCAAAATTGTTTACAATGGTGCAGGTGCATCTATTCTTTGCGTTATCTCGAAATGGAGTCTTATGGATTCCTCATCCCTTCTTATTTACTCTTTTTAAATTTATTTCGCTGGGATATACTGCTCGAATTATATCTTCGATCCATAAACCTTTTGACTATCGCTAATACTTCTACTACTTTCACTACTATGGGATTTGAATTGACAGTTGCATCTCTGTGCTGATGTGATATGGCATTTTGAACTGATGTACGTATGTACGAAGTTCTGCGTTGTAGCTGACTGATTGATACTACAAATAACTAATTCATTAACGTGAATTTACAATTAGAGAACTCATGTTCCAGAAGATCCTGAGAATACCGTTTAGTATATGTTTGAGGATCTATTTGCTTTTGGTACCCTCATATTAAAGTTTAGTATTTTTAGCAAAAACAATAACTGTACAACAAGGAATAGATGTTTTGGGCTGTTTTAGGAACCCTTGCTTATGTACTGCTACGGACACACAATACAATGAACCTAGAACCTTCGGATCTTATGGTAGGTAGGTTACCTTTAGAGCAACAAGTTTATCTCAAATGTCTCACATTTTCAACTTTACTTGGTCCACTATATCTTTAAACAATGAAGTTGGCAAGTCAGTCTTACTAACAATTATTATCTTCATTTGGATCGTGATTGGGCATCACTGAAGAGTTCCAAACTAGGACGAAACAGTTGATCAGTACTCTTTGGTTTTCAGTGGTTCTGCAACTTATGTCAAACTGTCGCAAAAACCATCCTTAATTCAATAAATTTTCTTCCTAAAACTGTTTCGTACAATAACACTCTTCAACAATATACTATCAAAATATCATAACATTGGTTTCAATGCTTATCCTTTCGCTCTAGATAGTATCTGTGCAAACCATTCCACTGGAATTTTCGGAAATTTAGAAGGAACTCAAAATATACTTATGTTTTATCAACCTATAATTTTACATTGTTTGATGGACGAAAGACATCGTAAACGTTGGTATTCATAGCTCATTGTGTTTCATAATAGAATTTTGTAAAAAAAGAACACTGGTAAACTCACAAAAATGAAATGAACAGATTTTCCTTTTTTTAACAGTTGAATAGTAAATGTCTTACGAGCATACGTAAGGTCTTTGATATGTTCCCATCTGTAAAGTTAAATATGTACAATTTCTTCGTTTAGTTATTAAGGGGCTTTTTATTTGTAAACATCAGTAAATATTACAGTACACAAAGATAAAGTGATCTATTTATATGACCGATTAAATACAAATACGTATCTACTGACTAATAACTTTCACATTTCAAAAAATATGGCAGGGTAAATATAAAGCGGAAACAATTTGCGTTTAAATAACGAACATAAAAATCTATAAAATAAGAATTGGGCTTTTGGAAATTTTTACCATAAAATTAGAAAAACAATTGATTTTTCACTTTCTTTGCTTTATACATGACTTAGATCGACAGTGGGAAACTTCATGATGTCGTTGCTTTACTCAAAGCCTATGAAGGTTTCTCCATGTCCTAAGTTTATTGTTAATAGTTGATATTATGTGAAGTGACATTAAATATTCAGCGAAATTAATCAGTTTACTTTCTAGTGGTAAATTATGCTTTGAAAAAGGCCAGTCTTAGAGAAACAGCATTTTTGACAACTACTAAACTCTCTCAAACAGTTACTCGTATGACTATCGTCTCTAGAAGACATTAATGTACCAATAGACGAACTACATCAATTCATCATTTTTATCAAGGTTAGACTTCTGAAACACACATAGTATATATAGAATTTCTTGACTGTGTTTTGTAGTTTTTTTGCATAACTAAAAAAATCTCCATAGGTAGGTAGTGCCATCTTGTTTAATAAAATCTATTTGTAATAAAGACCAGAAACAAATGGAAAGAGAGATTATCCTACACTTTAATCAATACACATACTTGTATTCAACATAAACAAAAACCATGTCATTGGGATACAGCCACATATACTGTCTAAGAATTATATACATGCATGTACATACACTAGTGTTTCATTTAATAAAAGTAAATGTGTGCACACAACTAACCAGTTTAGCTTTTATTCACACAAGGTACGAATGAAATGGATGACCTACTTTTTATTGATTTTCAGTCAGTAGGGCAAATACGAAAGCTATTGTTACACACAACAAACGGAAATCTATATTTGTTTTTATCACATAGGACAGTGAGATTTTCGAAATCATTATAATATTGAAAAAATGTATTCTTTATATAGTCACAATATGTCGAATACTAAATCCTACCGAGTTAGTCTGGGCAACCAGATTTTATAATAGGTGATAAGAGAATTCATAGGTAATTTTTATTGCAAACTACTGTATACTGAAAAACCCTTTTCTTTCCGATTGTTTGCCAGCTGATATCAGTTCGTAATGAAAACTGCCTTCAAGTCATATAAAATTTTCGCCAAATTTAAAATATATGGACAAATTTATATTTGCACCAATTTCTAAAGCTTTTAGATATTTTCGTGTAGCCCTAATTAATCGACACGAAATGGTGAAGTGATAGTTGATGTCGTGTAATATGGATCTTGAGTCCGATTCAATTATTTACAACTGTTTCACGAAAGTTATGTTGGTCTTTCCAAAGTATTCCTCAACCGAATTCCCGGTTTTGTCTTTAAATGAATCTTTGAATATCATTATGTAGACAGCCGATAATTTTGTTCATTTTCATTATTCATAGCCATTACCATCGAAAATATAAAATTATGTCAACTTCCAAAAGGAATAATGTCGGAAGTTATTGACGAGAATTAGTAATGTCCAGTGAGTCTGAGTTATTCTACTTTATTTCCTATTCTTGTTGTCTTCAAGTTCATAGAGGGAATCAACTATGTCAGATATTAGCGATTTGAGAGAAAGCTTTTATACTGCAAAAAATAAAAGCAGTCACTGCAACACTGCTTTGGTGATATAGGACGGAAGTATTAGACGATACTAAGTGGTTAACTGTAGTATACTTGCACCTCAGTGTTCATATTCCGATCACTAAATCGAATTCAAAGGTTAGCAGAAATTTAGTTTAGCATCTAAAGTGGAGAGGATTGGTTTATCAACCTGTTAATATTAAAGCATTATGAAAATTCTTTGGTTTTACTATATATTTCAGAATTATGAAGTTTTAAGTTTTCATGAGATTAAACACTGGCTTAACGCTGCAAAAGATGTAGCCTAAAAGCTTAAAAATTTATCATATGGTTGTGCGTGAACAGTATGTAACCTCTATTGATAAATGATGTGAATATTCCTTAAACTTGGAGTTCATTACTTTTTACTTGAAATAAAGTTATGGTCCTAATGACAGATGGTGGTTTATGATGATAAGTGATATCATTGGTGACGACTGAAATACATAGTTGCGATTTACACACTATCATTATTAATCTGAAGTTAAAATTAATATTTATTTAAATCAGACATGATCTTTAGATAACTATCGTATTTCGGAGTTAGTACTAATATATAAACTATAGAGGCCCTTAATATCAACACTTACATGTGCATAGTCGAATGCTAGAAATGATGTCAAAGTTTAAAAATCTATAGAAAACTACTACAAATCCCATTTCATTTTTCAAATATATCGGTATGCTATACCACAAAAATCTCTTTCAGGCAGTAGGCATGCAACTGATGTCAGTGATTCCCCTTTTCAATGATATTCATGCAGAGCTGATTTCTGATGCACAACTTACTTTAAGTTAGCGATTGTTTGCCTTTGGGGCTCAAATGTAGTAATATTAATACCATTACGTGAAACACCAAGTTCTGCAACTTCATTTCTGCATGTCTTCAAATTTGAAAATGTATACAATATAAATATAGATATGTGGATAACTTTCGTTAAGATGAAAGCTAAACTTGCCAGTACCATGCTTCATCTTTCTTTTAAAGTCCTGTAATTCCAAGGATTTAAAAAACTATCTATTCCCGCCGTTCAGTGAGAGTGAAAAATATTTTTTTAGTTCATTTACTGTATCGATGCTGCGAATGGTAGTGTGATTTGCACCATAATCTATCTGTATATGTCTTCCGTGAACACGCTACTGTAACTCATTTCAGTTTGCCGAATTAAAGAGCGAAAAAATGAGATTTAGAGCTTAAAATGAAATCCTTAATGAAAAATGTACTATCATATACAACAATCACTAGGTAAATAAACGATAAAAGCAAGATATAACACATGTATTGACAAGTGAGAAGCAGATGTGCTACAAATTTACAGAAATGTTTCCTATCCCAATTTTAATTTGTTTTGTTTTGAGTCGCATTCAATCTACGTTAATTATGAATAATAAGAGAATGAACACTATTAGAATAAAAACTCCGCCAGTAGAACCTTAGGGGCTACTGCAGGTCCCAAGCCCGGATAAAGGAGGAGGGTTGGACATGGGGTTGGTGGCCCCATTCCGTTGAAATCTAACTTGCCAAAAAAACGCTAACCAGAAAAAATAATTCAAACCATTTTAACTCTGCCCTGGGAGTTGGAAGAAGAATTATGACGTCTCGTGATGAAAGCCGAGTTCCCTCGGAAGTCACGGGGCCGATGCCTCTTCTGACAACCAGAGCAACCACTTTTTTAGGTACATGGAACGTTCGTACATTGTGGGAGACTGGAAGACTATTTCAAGTTGCGGCACAAATGAAAAGATACAACCTCGAGGTGCTCGGCATCAGTGAAACACATTGGACACAGGTAGGACAACTGAGACTTGCTTCAGGGGAACTGCTGTTATACTCTGGTCATGAAGAGGGAAACGCTTCACATACACAAGGAGTTGCACTGATGCTGTCCAAACATGCACAAAAGGCACTGATAGGATGGGAATCTCATGGACCCAGGATCATTAAAGCATCCTTCAAAACAAAGAAACAGGACATTACAATGAACGTCATCCAATGTTATGCACCTACCAATGACTACAATGACGACGTTAAAGATCAATTCTACGAAAGGCTGCAGTCAGTCGTCGATAAATGTTCACCAAAAGATTTGACGATTCTTATGGGAGACCTGAATGCCAAGGTTGGAATGGACAACACTGGATATGAAGACATCATGGGACGACATGGACTGGGAGAAAGGAACGAAAACGGTGAGAGATTTGCAAACCTATGTGCCTTCAACAAACTGGTCATCGGTGGCACAATATTCCCGCACAAACGCATTCACAAAGCCACATGGATTTCACCAGACCACACTACTCAAAACCAAATTGACCATATCTGTATCAACAAAAAGTTCAGAAGGACCATGGAGGATGTGAGAACCAAGAGAGTAGCTGATATAGCCTCAGATCACCACTTGCTGATCGCCAAAATGAGATTGAAGCTAAAGAAGCACTGGACAACGGGGCAGACAACATCACACAAGTTTAATACGGCCTTTCTTCGGGATACCGTAAAACTCAACGAATTCAAGATAGCCCTCACCAATAGGTTCCAGGCCTTTCAGGATCTACTCAATGGAGAGGAAGCAACATTGGAGAACAATTGGAAAGGGATTAAGGAGGCAATCACTTCAACATGTCAGGAGGTCCTTGGTCGCAAGAAGCACCATCACAAGGAATGGATCTCTGTTGGTACTCTTGAAAAAATTCAAGAAAGGAGGAACAAGAAGGCAGCTATCAATGTCTGCCGAACAAGAGCAGAGAAAGTTAAGGCGCAAGCCGAGTATACAGAAGCAAACAGGGAAGTGAAGAAGAGCATCAGAGCTGACAAACGAAAATATGTGGATTATCTAGCAATGACGGCGGAAAAGGCTGCAAGAGAAGGAAACTTGAGACAATTGTACGAAACAACAAAGAAGCTCGCCGGGAACTATCGTAAACCAGAACGACCAGTGAAAAGCAAGGAAGGGAAAATAATCAGCAACACTGACGAACAGCGCAATAGATGGGTGGAGCACTTTAAGGAACTATTGAATCGACCAGCTCCACTGAACCCACCCAACATCGAAGCAGCATCCACGGACCTCCCAATTAATATTGGCGCACCTACGATTGAGGAGATCAGTATAGCCATCAGACAAATCAAGAGCGGCAAAGCAGCAGGACCAGACAACATTCCAGCAGAGGCAATGAAAGCAGATGTGGAAGAACTGCGAAAATATTTCACATTCTCTTCAAGAAGATTTGGGATGAGGAACAAGTACCATCAGATTGGAAAGAAGGATACCTCATCAAAATACCAAAGAAAGGCGATCTCAGCAAGTGTGAGAACTACAGAGGCATCACTCTTCTTTCAATACCAAGCAAAGTCTTCAACAGAGTATTGTTAAACAGAATGAAGGACTTCGTAGACGCCCAACTTCGAGATCAACAGGCCGGATTTCGTAAGGATCGATCATGTGCTGACCAAATTGCTACATTACGGATCATTGTGGAACAATCAATTGAATGGAACTCACCACTCTACATCAACTTCATCGACTACGAGAAAGCATTCGATAGCGTGGATAGGAAAACACTGTGGAGGCTTCTTCGACACTACGGTGTGCCTGAGAAAATAGTCAACATCATACGGAATTCTTATGATGGATTCAACTGCAAAATCGTACACGGAGGTCAGCTGACAGACTCTTTTGAGGTGAAGACCGGTGTCAGGCAAGGTTGCTTACTCTCACCCTTTCTCTTTCTCCTGGTCATCGACTGGATTATGAAGACGTCAACATCTGGAGGGAAGCACGGTATCAACTGGACAGTTAGGACGCAGCTGGACGATCTGGACTTCGCAGATGACCTGGCTCTTCTATCGCACACTCAACAACAAATGCAAGAGAAGACGACCAGTGTAGCAGCAGCCTCTGCAGCAGTAGGTCTCAACATACATAAAGGAAAAAGCAAAATTCTCCGATGCAACACAACATGCACCAACCGAATCACGCTTGATGGAGATACCTTGGAGGACGTTAACACCTTCACATATCTTGGCAGCATCATCGACGAGAAAGGTGGATCGGACGCAGATGTGAGGGCGCGGATTGGCAAAGCAAGGGCTGCATTTCTACAGTTGAAAAATATCTGGAACTCCAAACAACTTTCAAACAAAACCAAAATCAGGATCTTCAATACAAATTTCAAGACAGTTCTACTGTATGGAGCGGAAACATGGAGAACTACGAAAGCCATCATCCAGAAGATACAAGTGTTTATTAACAGTTGTCTACGCAAAATACTTCGTATTCGTTGGCCAGACACCATCAGCAACAACGAACTGTGGGAGAGAACAAGTCAGATTCCAATGGAGGAGGAAATCAGGAAGAAGCGGTGGAAATGGATAGGACATACACTACGAAAAGCACCCAACTGCGTCACTAGACAAGCCCTCACATGGAACCCTCAAGGCAAAAGGAAAAGAGGAAGGCCAAGGAACACACTACGCCGAGAAACAGAGAAAGACATGAGAGGAATGAACAAACATTGGACAGAACTGGAGAGGGAAGCCCAGGACAGAGTTGGTTGGAGAAAACTGGTGTGCGGCCTATGCTCCATTGGGGGTAACAGGCGAAAGTAAGTAACTATTAGAATAAAAGTACTCTTCTAACGTGAAAGAACTAAGTAAATAAACTATTTTTGCTGTAGAGTACATATTATTTGTTGACTTTTCTTTCTTTTTATAAACAGTGATAAAGTAATTTTTATCAAACAAAAAAGTCATTTACTAGGTGACAGGTAAATGGTCATAGGTTATATACAGTTTCAAACTGTGTTTGCTTCCTTTAACCTAATCCATCTAAAGGTGAATGAAATTCTCCTTTGTTCATACTACGATTGCATGTGACAGCTTATTATGTATTTTGTCACACATTAGAGTTTGCGAATGAAATTTGAAACAACAGGTCAATGGGTTCTTTTTTTCTTAAGTTTACTAGACGCTATGTACCAAAAAAACGAATGAAATATAACTACACCAAACCAAACAGTAAATGAATTAACCTACATTTTTCACTGAACTGACATACGAACTGCTGAATTATAACTACATTCAACTACCACATTGTATGTCTATCACTTCCAGATTAAGCGTATGTTTAACTAGTAATTTGAAGATAAATTTTCGCTCCGTCAATAACTTAAATTTTAATTATTGGCTTACTTATGCACCAAAACTTTTTAATTGATTGGTTATATTATGTGGTGTTATTATTTTATTGGAACCTGATAAAAATAATATTTAGTTTCATAAGCATAAATAAACGTTTAGTCGCCCTAAGTATAAGTGACAATATGTAAATTAAAACTTACCATCCCATTAAATATTCGAACTCCATAGAGAGGATTATGTCGAATTTCATCTAGAAAATACCATATTGCATTGTCCTGAGAAACTCCTTGTAGATGAGAGTAACCCCAGATTATGTCATCAACATATTCTGTTGTTAACAGGTCAAATGCACCAGCTGGAGAACTCTGCAACAAAAGTGGGTAAAGAAAGTTTTCCTAATATGAGATAAATCAGTTAAGACAATATGTTTCCAGTTCATTTATTTACCAAAAATCGGTCATAAGTTTTTACATGAGATTAATTTTGTATTTTTTGTAATTCTTTAATAATTTGTAATTTTGTAATTCTTTTAATACACTAACCGTAAAATCAGAAAATATCGATCTATAGATGACTAATCGTTTCACTCGTTTGTTTTGAAAATGTCATACATTTCATAGTTTTTAATTTTATCTTCGGGTTTAATCATTGGAGTTCCATTACTTCCTAGAAAGAACGACAATTTAGTGATTTAATTTGCAGTACTTCAATCTTGGTAGATAGTACGTTCAGCAACAGGATTGTTAGTCAACTGAAAATTTATAAAAATTTTGTTACCCTATTGTTATTGCTACTCCATGAATCTGAATCATTTAGCAAGTGATTAGCGAATAAATTATTTCATAATCATAAGGAATTTATGTATCTTGATGTTTCTTTGTTAGATATTGTTTTAATTGCTATAATACTTCATTTTCTTAACGGATTAATATCTTTTAAAATTAGGAAATATTCTTCAGATTAAAAATTAATTTTGTTAAAATGGCTATGGTTAGAATGAAGACGAAACCTTAGAAAAATATCACGTTATTTCTCCAGCATCCTAATCAGCATTTGACGGCTAAAAGAAGTTTAGATGGAATCCTAGGTGTGAATCTTTTATCTGATTTTTACAAACAGCTTCTAGAACTACCATTAAAACGACAATATTTATAACCAGAAGCATTGTATAAAATCCTGTGATTAGTAAATAAACTGAGTCAAATGAAAATAATTAACCAAAGTAGATCGTTTTTTATCTTTCTGTGAACAAAAGCAAATCATCTCATTGAGACATTATTTTTTTATAATTTGGAAGAAGCATTCAGTTTGCAAATCTAGATGATTCTTGCTGCACACACTATTAGATGTAAGTAACAAGGTTTCCTGTGCATAATCAGTTACAGATGACTGCGCTGTTTATACTGAACATTTATATGCATACAATCTAACAGGAAATTAAATCCAGGGGCATCACAAAACATTTCTAGATTGTTTGAAACTAGTTACAAAGAAAATACAGCGTTATTAACTGTGAAACAACATACTTCTGACTGTAAGTTTTTTTCCCTCCAGTTTGAAAGAGTAGTTTCAATGTCTACAAAATCTCCAAACTCAGCTGTAACTCAAAAAGAAGGTCATTAAAAAATGTTAATTCATTTCTTTTGTATAATTAATGAATGTTATACCATCACTGCAGCAAGTCCATTTCTGAGAATCCCTTGTTGAGCTGTAAATGTGAGAATGAACTAAGTATAAACTAACATTTAAGCCGAACAGTTTTTTAGGGCTATTGTTTCCTCGGCATCTCACGAAATTCCACTGCATATCAGCCCCAAAAACTTATTTCATACTGTAATCTAAGACAAAGCCTCTCACATTTGAATGTATTATTGTTTGCAATTCCTAGTAGAAAGTATAACTTAATCTTTATAAACTTTCAAAGTTAACTACGATAAACATATTTCAAGACTTATTTTGAATTATCACTAAAATATCATCGAAATTTTCGACTAAATCCATAATCTACTACTATTTAGTTCTTTTCAGCTTTACTGAGTTATAAAGTATGTAAACACGCAAATTATTCTCATAGTTGTTATAGTATATAGACAGATACAACGCAGAACTTCGTATGTAAGTACATCAGTTCAGGTTGCCATACCACATCAGCAAAGAGACGCAACTGTCAGTTCAAATCCAAGTGATAGCGATAGTAGAATTATTAGCAGTAATGGAGAAGATTAGGGAGCAAAGATATGATTCGAGAAGTATAATTCAGTGAGATAAATTTAGGAGGAGAAAGATAGAGATTATGAGGAATGCAGAAGCTTAGAATTTGAGAGAACACAAAGAATAAATGCACCTGCGCCATTGCAAACGATTCTGGGCAATGTCGTTCAAGGTCTCTACCCATCGGTAACTTTCGTCTCGCGGACCCCAACCAGGTAGCTTACATCTACCAACATGACTCAGTCCACCTGTCAGTGACTTCATGGATTTCTGCCATGTTTTGGTTTGGCCGCCCCTAACTTTCTTCCAACCTACTCCTACACTACAAAACAAAGCTCTTCGAGGCATTCGGTGGTTAGCCATACGCAACACATGTCCCGACCACCTCAACTGATGAAGGTTCATTACTTCATCTATTGATCTGCCATACTTACCTAGCACCAGATTCCTAATAACAGCGTTGCTCACTCGGGTGTCCCACGGTATACGAGCAATGCCTCGGAAACAACGATGATCGAAGACTAGTAACCTACGAAAGTCCTCTACTCTTAACGGCCAAGTCTCGCATCCGTACAGTAGGACGGAGCGAACTGCTGCACAGTACACTCTCCCTTTAGTCAGCAAACGGATATCTCGCCTGCGCCATAGGTGATGCAGGTCGGCAAAACCCAATCGAGCCTTCTGTATCCGAGCTGAGATTTCGTCAGTCACCAGGCCATCAGCGCTGATGAGACTCCCGAGATAAGTGAAGCGGTCTACACGTTCGACTACTTCACTTCCTATAACTAGTTCCGGTGAAGTCGCAATCCAATCCTGAATCAACATTTTGCGTTTCGACGGGGATAACCGCATCCCGAACATGCTTGCATTGTTGCTTAGGGTAGTCAGAAGACTCTGCATTTTGTCAACGTCTTCACCGAATAGAACTATGTTATCGGCATTTTCTAGGTCGATAAGCTCGCCTCCTGGTAGAAAGTCGACTTCTGAAAAGTCGGACGAAGATAATGTTATATGTAGGAGCATATCCATGACAAAATTAAACAAGAATGGAGAAAGTGGACAGCCCTGACGGACACCACTTGAAGTAAAGAATTCCGGTAACAGTTCGCCATAAGCTCTCACTCGACCAGTAGTGTTCGAGTAGAGAGCTTGTATAAGGTTAATGTACTTCCTCGGTACACCTTTCAATGACAGACACTGCCGCAGAACCTCAAGATCCACTGAGTCAAATGCCGCCTTAAGGTCCAGGAAGACAACTATTGTTGGACGCCAAAATGTGTGTCTGTGTTCCAGGACCTGTCGTAGTGTGGAAATGTGGTCTCTACAGGCACTTCCAGTAGTAGTAGTAGTATATATTTTACTGTGAAATAAACCAGACAAAGCTAAGTAAAATGTCATGTAGGAGCTACCATAGTTAATACGCCAACATAATGTGCCGTATTTTTCAAAACGAATATTTCTTCAAATTGGTGATCTATTCTGACCTCACAGTGGATTTTCTGATGCTTAATATCTTTTCAAAAACAACTTAATAGCTACAAGCAACCTTGAAGGCTCAGCTACTTAAACATTTTTCAAAGAAATCCACAAATAAATATTTTGCACTTGAAATATTTTAGGGCAGCGTCTACGTTCAGTTGATATAAAACTGTAAAAAGGAACTTTACTTAAACCGGGGACAAAAATTATAATTATGTTATGCAGGTAGTAATTAATTTTTAATGTCATCTATAACTTGTGGTGAATTGCGTTTCAGATGAATTAAAATATCTGTCCATAAGAATTGTTTATCATTGGTACTTTATTTAGGTCTTCAGGTTCGAGGATATATTAAAATATGTGAAAATTTTATGAGCTCGCTGGATACTTGTGCGTTCAAAGAAAGGCAGCCAGGCGTTTTTCACGGAAAATAAAGCCATAAAAAACTAACGTTAAAAAATGTGTGAAAATAAACTCAGTGCTATACCTATGAGCAAAGCCCAGAGCATAAAAGGAAACATCTGAAGTTAGATGGTTTAAAGTGACGGATTGTGAGGTTTATCGAAAACAAAAGGTTTGTCTATATAATGCCTCAGATCACATCCTATCTACGAAAACGTTTGTTACACAAAAGAAACAACTCATTATGAGAAGCTATCCAGTCGAAGATACATAGGTTTGCACAACTACTATCCAAGTAATGAGTTCAATATGTGACTGTTTACTAAGAGTCCTTATTTTGCAATCTGACCATAAATATCCTGTGCTTTGAAAAAATTTTACAAATGCGCTCTGTGGATCGTAAATTTAGTCAGTCCTATTCATTTTCGAAATTATGTTTAACGCTGCACGAATATAATTTATATGCGAACAAAACTGTCTGAGCTTTAAATGACGGCAGATGTAAAAAACAACAAAGTATCGTAAACTACGGCTTTAATGTTTGTTCAATATCACCCTAAGGAACTTTTGATGCAAGTGCAGTTTGATAAACGTCCATATTTTACCGTCTACGATAGCAACATTTACTGATCAATAAAATATAGCACTTTAATTTGGGTACCATGGTAACATACGTTTAAGTCACAGCCGTTTTACTGTGAAATTGGCATCATGAAACTCGACGCAATAAACACATTCAGTAAATTTTTTATTTGAATTAAGTCGGTTACTTGACGATTAATATGTGCTTGTTATTCATTTTGTTAAGCTCAAAACAAGCGATTAGGTAAATATGTGTGCCCCATTATCACCTGATTGTTACAGTGTGTGGCTTTTATATGAAAAATGTAGCTTTATGTGGCGCACTGGGACGTCCTCTGCTTTCAAATTCAGCAGTCGATGTTTAGCCAGTCACCTACTCAAAACTGAAATTCAATGCAATTTCAGACTGCCAGGTAGTCGGTAAACTTAGAAAATTATCTAGCGTAGCAAGATGGATTTACACTAAATCCACGTGGTTTACCTTGAAGACTGTAAGCTTGAAGTTTTATTGCCAATTTTAACGTCACAGGAAGAAGACCCATTGCTATATTTCTTCTGAGCTGAAGGTAAAACCAACGTCTTCAAATAAAATATAATTAGCATTCTCACCTTATTTGTGGATCAGGTACAAACTGTGGGTTATCAATGAAAAGCATAACAGTAAGAGTTAAAGCCTGTTGACGAGCATATTTATCCAGTTGCTTTTTGATTGACTTATTAAGAAATAAACATCTCTGTTCCCCTGCCCAGTCATCAAAAGTGAATCCAAAAAAATATATCTGCAAATAACTTTATATTACAGTGGATGACATACATCTTCTATATCTAGTCTCTGTGCAACATATTCGAGAGCATCTCGACCAGTAGTGCTTGAAGACACAGTATATTCAACACATGTGTTGTCAAGTGTGTATATTCTTATAACATGCAGATCCTTAGCTGCAACATTATATCTATGTGTGCGCTTAAAGTTCAATTTCAACGGCATTTGAAGCTAACCGCGAATGCACATTACGGACGTCATAATGCAACTCTTGTGCTATAAAGGATAATGGGATTATTCAAACAAATTTCACTCAAATTACTATAGGACGTTAACATGCTAATATTTAATTCATAAATACATGTGTATAGCGAGGAGTCGTAAAATATTGTTCTTCAGCTTTAAAAGTCTTGTAGTAAAGAAGATAAACCCAATGTCTAATATCTTTTTCGCGAGCTAGTATAAACCAACTGATTTCTTTGCACTCGATTCTTGTTCTTTCGGTTCGGTTCCAGGTACTTGTTAGTGTCCAGTGGATAGGGGTCAAGACAGCTGTTTGTCAATTTGTTTGTATCGTTATTGGCTTCAGTACGTTTGTTTCAGGGCTGTAGGGTTTTGGATACCAGCAGTTCATTGCAATGTGGAGAATAATAAGGAGAAAAGTCAAATGCTAAGAAGATTTCAGTGATAGTTTGGTTTATTAGTTGGTAGTGAAGATTGTGAGACAGGAACAAAGTGTAAGCAAGGGAGAGGAAACAGAGGTAATAAGCTGGTCCAAGAAGAAGATAATAATTCATATGTATGTGTTTGTCAAGCCTCTTCTTAAAGCTGTCCATTGAGGGGGCTGTGTTCACCTTCGCTGAAAGAGCGCTCACAGCTGCACCAACCCTTGCTGAGTAAAAGTATGCACAAACCTGAGCGTTTTCTCTTTGATGAGCAATTTTTCCAGGATTACCTCGTGGGTGTTGCAGTGATGTTTCCGTAAGATGCTCATGTTGGGATGATTTGGCGTGCACAATATATTGTAGACCATAATCAAGTCACCTCTGTTTCTCCTGTAACTTAAGGAGAATGATCTCAAGTGTTGTGTTCCATCTCCTTAAGTTTTATTCTCCAACCTTATCACACATTTCGTTAGGCACTCTATTCAAGGGATTAATGTCTCATTGAAGGAGAGGAGTTGTGATGACATTGTGAACCTGAAGGTAAGGGCGCTCATATGTCTTAAACGACGGTAAAATACTTTTGGTTTGATAGCACTAAGGTATCTTCACATAAAGTGAAGAGTTGTGTCACGTGGGGCAGAATATATGTAACGGGACATTTCGACTGGTTTAGTTTTAAACCGTTTGTCAATGCCCATTCCTTGATGGTTGTAAGGCCCTTTTGGAGCCAAGTCGGGCCCTGTTTGCTTCTAATGAACTTCAAGGTCTCAACAACGTCTGTGTTGATCAATGCAGCCAAGCTGACCTTGTCTAACAGATCGTTAATAAATGTCAGATAGAGAAGTGCGCACAAGATGGACTCTTGTGGAAATCCCGATGTTGAGACTCGACAACGTGCTTGCACTCTATTTACCTTGGTTAGAAACTCTACATTATCAATGTAGTTTCTGAACCAAGATAGGAGTGCGTCAGAGTACCCTATTTCTGAAACCTACACGAGTTGGACTGTGTAGGGAGCTGCGTCGGTCTTTTTCAGAGGCATGAAATATTATAAGCATCGGTATTTTTCGGTCCCAGCAAGATGTCCAACTATCCGATGTTATGAGAATATCGAATTCGCTCGACCAGCCATTCCGGAACCCGTGTTCAGTATCATGGTGCATTCTAGTCTTATCCATGTACTCCCTCATTTGTTCGTTCACCAGCCCTTCAACTACCACCATTAGTGTTGGTAGTAATGTAACTGGTCTGCGATAGACTTAGTCCTTCCTATCTCCTCCTTTGAAGATTGGAGGTAGAGTACCTTGTTTCCATTCAGTTGGGAGTTGGTTTAACTCCAGTTAACGCCTAAACAGGTGCAGGCTTATGCACACTGAAGACTATGGGGCGATTATTGTCAAAACCTGGTGACTTTCTGAGGCACAAAGACTTTAATATTCTCATCACCAGGTCAGAAGTAAGCGAATATCACCTAGGCCATCAAGTGGCACGATGTTCTGAGAAGTAGTGTGAATCTGTAGGTACTCGGTGTAATTGATTTCGGAAGTTGGTTTTCAAGATCTCAGACATTTCTAGGTTGATAAGATCCTCGCCATTTGAACCTTCCATAGCACAAACACCTTGGTTTGTTGGTTTTGTTTTTGGCATGAACCTAAACAGATACTTAGGTATTGCTTGTGTTTTGGCAGCTGGCTTCATTTGAAAGCGTCTCTTATCACTTCAAACTTTGGAACTGCATCTATTTCTCATTTACAAGTAAGAACTGCGGTCGGAATCCTTCAGACAGACCCTTCACTTTCACCAGGCTCGCCTTTTCGCATGTGACAAGCGTTCAGTGCCTCGCTCAACCCAGGTTCTTCTCTGTCCTTGTGTATGTTGTACGTGAGGTACATTGTGTCGGACAACATTTTGGATGATGTCTCCCACTGATTGCCGGCAATCATCTACTGTTAGCCTACACAATTCGCGTGGTCGTGGCGCATGTATAAGGTTATCTTTCATGAGCGGGTTATATGCTTTAGTGTGGAAAATGTAGGGCTTGGTTTAGTTCTCCCTGAGTGTTTTGTTTATAACCATGTGCAACAAGACTGTGCCGTGGCCGATACTTCATATTGGTGTTTGGACTTGAACATCCTCGACCAGGAGCTGATCATTTGTTAAGACATATTCCGAGTTTGAGGATTTTCTATCCTTAGTCTGTAATATGTCGATTTACTGCGTGTTATTAAGCTTGGTGATTAGCTCGTCCAGACAATCGTTACTAAACGGCGTCTGACGGTTTATAAATCAGAAGGCGAATACAAAGTGATGAAGCGAAGCGGAGAAGCAGTGAATAAAATGAATGAAGCGACGTGAATTGAAGAATGTGCGAATGAACAGGCAAAGCGCGTTGGAGGAGGCTAATGAGCCAACGCAAAGAGGTAGAGGTATTAGTGTTAATAGTAAATCCTCAGCTCAGTTTAGTACTTCTAGATTGAGGTTAGATAAGGCATTACTAAAGAAGAAGAATTTGGAAAGGAGACTTGGGTTAGAAAGGCAGCTTAAAATGTTAGATCTTCAAGAGGAGGTTGATATGGCCGAATTAGAATGTAAGGTCATAGAAAACGATAACCGACTGTCAGTAGACAAATCTGAGATAAATGCTAAGGTGGAAAGGTACTTGGATTGTGACATTGCGCGTAATAAGTATTCCGTGGAGGTATTTAACACCTCAAAATGCGATTGTATTGATGAATTAAAGGATACGTTACGTACTGCGGTTAATAATACGGTTTTGCCTCAGATCGATATGATGTTTTTTGACGGAGAGCCAAGCCAGTACCACCGTTTTATTAGTCAGTTTACAAGCATTATAGAGAGTAAACTGTCTGACAAATGCCAGTTGTTGTCATATTTGTCATAGTATTGTAAAGGAAAGGCCAGAACGGCTATTGAAGCTTGTATTTCCTTGCCCAGTCACTTGGGTTACGATAGAGCTAAACAAATTTTGTATGATCTATTTGGTAAAGAACATCTTGTCGCCCGTAATCTTATTACTGAATTACTTAGCCACAAATCTGTTGAAGGATCCGCCGATGGCCCAACTGACTTCGCAATTAAGCTACGTAATGTATGTATAACTTTGAAGGAAATGGGGTAGATGTCTGATGTGAATTCTACGGCTAATCTGGAAATAATTGTGTCATGTTTACCCCTGGAATTACAGAATAATGGGTGGGAGCTGCTGATAGAATCATGATGACCGGTAGGGAGCCTATCTTTGAAGAATTAGTGATGTTTGTAGAAGAAAGAGCCAGGATTGCACGATCGCGTTAACAAATAGTTAATAGTTCCTTTAGACTGGAGGGTGGCCATTTCCAAGTTGGTCTACCCTGGAAGTATGATAAGACAAGGCTACCGAATAATTTGGAACTAGCTGAACGTAGACTAGAGTGTTTAAGGAGAAGGTTTATGAAGGATAATAGTCTTCTGGAGAAATATCAACTTGTAATGAATAAACATTTACGTAAGGGCTACTTCATTGAAGCTAGTAAGGAGGAATTCGACCGTGATGCTGTTTGTTGGTATATTCCTCATCATCCTGTTATCAACCCTAAAAGGCCTGGAAAATTAAGAATTGTTTTTGATTGTACAGCTGTCTATCAAGGTTATTCTCTTAACGACCAGCTTTTGAGAGGACCAAATACTGTAAATAGTTTAATTGGTATACTTCTAAGATTCAGATTATGCAACGTAGCGTTTCGACTATTATGGTGGGAAGACGGTGATATAGGACGAAAGGCTAAAGAATATTGTTTGACAGTTCATCCGTTTGGAGCCGTGCCCTCACCTTTTTGCGCTAATTTCGCTGTTAGGAAGACGGTAGATATATTCAGGAAGGAATTGAATAAAGATGTCCAGGAAGTTGTAGATAAGAGTTTTTATGTCGAAGACTATTTAACTTCAACCGATAATGTGCAGGATGCAATCGAGCTTGCAAAAACCCTTGGTTTACTCCTCAGAAAAGGTGGGTTCAGACTTACCAAGTGGATAAGTAACTGTTTACAGGTTCTCGAATCACTTCATCCAGAAGAGAGAGCAGAAGCCGTAAAAGAGATTGACTTTGAGAGACTTCCTACGGAACGCACATTGGGATTATTTTGGAATATTATGGTTGATGCGTTTGAATTTAAAGTTTGCATACCGAAATGCCATCTCACTAGGCGAGGTATATTGTCGAGTGTAACTTCATTATACGACCCCTTGGGATTGTTAGCACCATTCATACTTCCTATGAAGCAGTTACTTCTATGTTCAGGTAAATTGGGACTGAGATGGGACGAAGAGATTCCAAGTGAGGAAAGCAAACGCTGGTTAGAGATTTTAAGTGAATTTCAGAGGGTTGAGAACGTTAGTTTTCCACGCTGTGTATCATTTCCATAATCAGATCGCTCGCTCTTGGGACTTCATATTTTTGAAGAAGTCAAAGGAGTGTTGGCCTGATGCGGATGTACAAGGTCCTGAACCCCATTTCTTAGAATTAAAGAAGGTAATGTCCACGCATGTAATAGTTGGAGAATCCACTGTTGATCTACTTATTAATTATTATTTAGATCGGACTAGATTACTTAAGCCTGTTGCATGGTTGATCCGATTTAAGCGATATTTATTAATAATGTATTCTGGCAGAAATGATCTATCTATACAGGTGGGTATGCTCGGAGTTGATGAGCTAGATTTAGCTTGTTTAGATTAAATTCGATATGTCCAAAACATAGTATTTCGGAAAGAGATTCAAATGTTGTCGTCTGATACCATTAGCAAAGTGAAAATAACATATTCACCCTTACGAACCTTAAATCCAATAATTATAGACGGATTATTGTGTATCGGTGACCGACTTCAAATTAGTTCCTGGTCTGAGTCGAGGAAGCATCTTATAATAATACCATCGAAGCATACAATTACAGATTTAATTCTACGGTATTACCATGTTTTGAAGGGACATCTCGGAGCTACACAGGTAATGGCAACGGTCCGAGAAAGATTTTGGGTGCTGAAGGGTGGTGTAGCCATGAGGAGAGTGATAAAGGATTGTGTTTATTTTAAAAGGAGGAACGCCCATCCAATTCAACAACTAATGGCACCATTACCTGCGATCAGGATAGAAGGTGGTGACTATCCGTTCTTATCAGTTGGAGAAGATTATTTTGGACCCCTTATGGTTAAACATGGTAGAAATACTGAGAAGCGGTACGGTTGTGCATTCACTTTTTTAAGGTTGAGAGCTGTGCATCTGGAGGTGGCATATAGTTTTACCACCGACTCATTTATCATGGCACTAATGAGATTTGTCGGCAGAAGAGGTTATCCAAAATAGTTTTATGGTGATAATGGATCAAATTTGGTGGGAGCTGAACGTGAATTAAGAAAATGTCTTCAACGTTGGGTACAGGAACGTATACACTCTGATTTACTAAGAAAAGGAATTGACTGGCATTTCAATCCTCCAGCTGCTAGTCATTGGGGAGGAGTGTGGGATCGCATGATTCGCTCTGTACGTAGGGTATTGGGTGCTCTTGTAAAGGAACAAATCTGTTGTATATATATATCTGTTGTATACACCAAACCAAATTCGACTACTAGCGGATTAAAACTTCGATCAAATGATCGTATGCTCCATTATCACAAGTTCAACCAAGCTAAAACAAACAATGTACATTGCAAAGTTTTATGGAAATTTTATGATTTTATTTTGTGCCAATTCAAGAACCAAGTTTAGTGATATCTATAGTCAGTCGACTGCTTCGGATTTCTGTTTATACTGTCCTAATGGGTCGTGTCACTGAGAAATCTTCCAGAATCAAAATGATAGGTGAGCGGGTAGTCGAGCTAATGTAAGTCCTACCTGTCCCAAAAGCGTGCATTTCAGTTTGGTTGTCGATTGTGCGTTTGTGTTGTTTCTCGTGTCCCGTTTCATAAGGCCCATTTACGCACCTCAAGGTATAGCATTTGTTGTATGTTTTAGTATCGTCCACAGCAACAACTTCAAGAGCTAACGCTCAGAATACAGGCAGTAAGTTACGTTTAGCAATAATTCTATACAAAATCAGATTAAAATTCTCATCTTCCACGTTGGTAGACTACTCTGATACAACAGTAGTATCAATTACTGATACATGCTGGGATTGCTGTTCTGCCGAGACAATCTTTAAAATGCTTGCTCAGGCACTTACAGTTTAACTTTGAGGATGGCATTTGATGGAGAAAAAACATAGACAGTCAACTTTATAATTATCAATATTTTTTACAAACCTTACTCTTTTCCTGAACTTTCGGCTTCAGTTTAAGACATCCAGTTTCTCGCTTCAAGTTTTTTCTTTCTGCTTGACCCACATAACCCACCATCATTCTTCATTAATGTACGCCTTAATTTGTGGGTTAAATTACCAACAATTACTTTAATTTTACTGGTCAGTATGAATTTTCCCTCGACTTACGGCTGTTTTTTCTACCTCACCATGAATCGTTAGTCATTGTTCTGGATATTTTTATATATATATAAATGTACCTCTGCTCTTTTTTCTTCTCTCTCTCCTTTTTACCTTCTCAGAAACCTATCCGCAGTGGAACAACCACTCAGCCTCCAGACGAAATGCATCTTGCGTGCGCTCACCTCTAGATCACAGCTTATATCAAGCATCTTCCAGTGAACATTTTTCAACTAGATACACTCCTAACTTATGCAGACCACCCAAGAACTCCGCTGATTACCTACCTAATTTGTACTCAATTTTTCAAAATGTAGCTGCATCGAAATGTTCCTGTCGGTGACATGGTGTAAATGAGCTACCAGAAGCAGACTTTTATTTATGATTTAACCACTCAACCTTTTATAGTAAGTGTGGTAGCATTTTAAACAATTCGATCTAGCCTATAAACTTATATGCCTCATGTAAAACATTGTAATTTCAGAATGAATATATTATTATTACTGCAGTACCAATAAATAAAATGTCGGGCAATGGACGGACTGAATTACTTTGTTTAACGATATGTACACCTCTTTACTGACTGAGCCCACAGAAGCAATGAATAAGAGTAAAGGACGTCACGAATCAAATGGTCAGTAGTCTGAGTGTCTGACTGTTAACGTTCAGTGCCTAGTTAAATTCTAATTTCACCATATCATGATCTCGTTTTGCGTAAAGTGTTAAAAATGATACACGAAGCCAGGTGAATGAAACGGGACATTTAGCTATCGAACAGATAATATACGACACGCATAGAGGATGGAATATCTCACTGTCGTACGCATACACATTGAATAAATCCAATGGTTTTAGAGAAGTACAATGGCTGGAGAGGGAGTGCAGTAGCATATTTTGGACGAACAAAGGCAATAAACGACACGCCTGACGAAAGGTGTATTTTCGTGGTTCAGAATGGACAAAATATAGCGGATATTGATGTAACGAAGGACTGTAACATATAATGGATCCTCGTATTACAAAGATATTAAAATACATAACTGCAGTCCAATGTTGATCTGACATATTATTTATTCTTAGTATAATATACTGTTATTAACTTGTATTTTGGAAAAATTAAACATGCCCATCTCTTGAAAAGTTCATCAGCCTGGAACGTCATTGAACTTATTCAGATATATGAACTCCATTATTGATCTACCACGGTCCACTTAATCGTAACTAAGCGATATGTTAAAACAGTCAAAAAGCTTCGCAAGCGAAGCCGAATTGAAGAAAATAATTAATAGACCATTACTAACTACAAATTATGGAAATTGAACGTTTACTTTACCTATATGCAATCAGGAGTAAACGACTTTATTCAAAACGATGCAAAATGAAGGATGAAAAGTAAAACCCACAGAAATCACTGAACTTATTATATGAAGTGTACAGCTTGTGAAATGATAATCAAAACCTGGTGAAGTTTTGAGTACAGCAACGGCCAGTGTTGTCATTTTTGTCAGAAAACTCCCTCCTAGTTTTTGGTTTGCAGAAGTTTTTCCACATGGATATTAGTAGCGCTGATGTTTCGTAAGTCATCAGTGTGATTTTTAGCAGAGTTGTAGAGCATGAAACGAGGAAAACAACCGCATTAGAATTTGTCCTGAAATAAAGTCCCATTCATCAGACACTAGCAAACACCTGGAACCCTACCGAAAAGTCGAGAATCGAACGCAAAGAAGTCAGCTGATTTATGCTAGCTAATAAAAAAGGTGTTGGATATTGGAAAACTCATATTCCTTGCGCTGTACATAGCCTTAGATACGACAGTAGTGGTCATCAAGTGATGTTGTATGCAGTGGTGAAGGCAACTGCATTGGTAATTTGTTGCAGTCAGAACAGCACAGGTTACAAGAGTATTCATGAAAATAGACAAGCGAGTTCAAAAATGTTCACAAGCTATTTGATCAATTAAGATCACTGACGTAGAGCTATTTAAGTAAATATACTATAATTTGAACTGCTACTGACTCCAGAAGGCATGAAATAAGATATAATTTGTTGCTTTGCAGCAATGACAGAATATAGAATGATACTGAAAAGAAAAAAATGATACCACATATTGTCTACTTTGAAGTTAAAAGTGTGAAACTTATTTCTTTTAATTGGGTTTTTTGAAGGACTTTGACTAAAAACCCGCCTGAAGTAACTTTAGCGGTACCACATTGTAGAATGTGTTTGCCAACTGCTGCTCCTATTGGTCCGCCCGGTTGTTGTCCAACGTAAGTTAGCTTCGTCCGTCCGTTAAATGTATTTTCACCAGAGTTGGTTTCCGACGTGTGCTATAATATTTGGATTTTCCACTAGCTTTGTTAAACTAAATGCCTTTTCCTCATGTAGCTTTTAGTTTTATGTGATTTATGTCGTATCTAATTTGCATAAAGCCCTCTGTTAACCAAAAAACCATTTGTAATTGATTGATGAAATTCCTTACTATGCGACGATAAAGTTATTTGGATAAATTTGTCTATATATTTTTCATATTAATTAGAAATATCGTATTTTTGTCTCAAATATTTTAGTAGAAACTACAGTAAGTCCAGGAAGAGAAATGCATCTTCACAGGGAAAAGAAAAACCCAAAGTTGATAATCAACCACACGGGCCTTCAGATTATAGTACTGTCATCTCTAAAATTGACGGGGTTCAAATTCAGTCAGAAAGTAATTCCAAAGTAAAGCAAACAAATGAACGTCGTGAGAAATCACGTATTGCGGCTAGGCAGCGAAGACATCGTGAAAATCAATCACTAGTTGAACTGTACCTAACGCTACCAATCCAACAAAATCTGGCTGTTGATGTTCTTAAGAATAAATGTCACAAAGTGGGACAACTAGAAGGAGATAGCAATGAGCAAATATCAGATAGCTTAACAGAATCTGTTTCCCTATTGAATACAGTTGGGCAGCTTGATTTTGTCCCGACGTATCGCCTTGCTGCCACTATATTTAGACAACACAACTTGTCAACGCCAGTGCTGGAAAAAGCTGTCATTGTGCGCATAGCCAGTAATTCCTTATGTCTGTATAACTGGCTGTATCCTTCCTTTGAATCAGGTTAGCATAATTTACTTCGTAAATTTTTTTTCTCGTTTTAGTTCCTAATTCGACTTCGACCTAGTGTTCGACAGTTATGAATTGTACCTTTTGGATAACCGAAACTTTGCGAATTGTCTTGTACATGAATGTAGCTTTTGTATCACTCTATTTTTGGAGGTTTTTATATGGATCAATTTCTGTCATAGAACATTGCCTTACTAATTTCTCTCCTCCTATTGAGCGTTGTGTATTTACTTGTTTCATCAACCCATCACACTCGAAACTTCTATTTATTGAAGCTTTGTCGCATCCTAAAAGCCTACCAGAGAGTAATTGGGACAATAGAAAGGTATATTGTAATATAAAAATCATTGTAATGGTAGACTCCAAAACCAAGTGCTAAGATCTAATGACCTTCAGCGGTTTCCATATGAGCATAGTTTGTAAATTTAATTCAGTAACTCCTACTGTTACGGCCGACAGCGGGGAGAGTCCACTCCCTCAAAATCCTCTCACGTGTGTATAGCGGCCGACACGAAAATTCTAATCATTTCCTTCTCTCAGTCGGCGTGTTGTTTACGAAACTAAGGGAACGGAAAGAGACTATGCGGCATCTAAACCGGGTTGATGGGAACGGAGGATCCACCTAGGGAGGTAAAAAGTCTTGATCCCAAACCAATGGTGCATATGGTCTCCATTACCCTAAGGGGATAAAAGGCGTATGAACCTATTGTTGGTCACCGGTTGGCATGCGACTACATTTCCCGACACAGCTCCACGGTCTTATGGACTGGAAATTTGGGTCAAAAGCTCTGGTGGTGCCCTCTAAGAAAACCACCTACGGTTTGTGCATCTGATCAACATCCAGCCCACTCACAAATTCAGTAATTTGTGTGGTGCATAAACATTAAGTACTCCTTTGTATCAATAATTCTGTCTAAATAAAGCAATAAGCTGGTTACTCAATTTCACATTATGAATTCTAGGGAGGCAAAATGAATCGTTATGACGAGAAAAACTGGGTATATAGAAGAGATTGTCTCAAATAGTCATTCTCGTAAGCATTACGGACGTTTAAAGTAGCTAATATATTGAAAGCTTTTAGTTTCTAAGGCATACCTAGTTTTACTTGATGAGTTTCAAATCAATTCGATGGGATGACATCAAACTATTGACAGTTTATTCTGCTAGCCACATATGTTGGTTTGTTTGTACGCGATATAGTCATTAAATAAAGATATAACATTACATAAGATATTAATGTAGTCCAGCTTTTGTGATAATAAGCATTACAAATGAAATAACCCGTCAAATGTTCTCAGTTTCGTTCTTAATCTTAACTCATCATCAACCCAACGTCTAATAAAATAGATTTGTACTCAACATCACCACTATGTACTACCATACAACTTTGATATTTTCCAAATGTAAGTACTTTTCACGTGTTATGAAAACCATAGATAGTTTACTTAAATACCAATAAATCTATATGTGTAGTACTCTGTTACCAGTTTCTTATCATATTCTGTCCTCTATTTTGACCAACTGAGTGGTATCGTCAATTTCTATGCAGCGAATGTAATTTACATATTGAATTTAAGTATTCTAACATTTATTTTTTTCCCTCATCACATTTATAGATTCTAATACCAAATCAAGAAATAAATTACCACCAGAGGACTCTCAATCAACCGAATTGGATTCATCATTGCCATCTGTTACCTGTGATAATACTACTGCCGCTACCACTATTATTAATAGTATGAGTAGTAGTGGTGTCCGCGTTCATACTCCCTTACTTGGTAGTACTGCTGATGTTATTCCGAAGCCACTACTGAGTGTACACTCACAGTGTCTAGTTGCTGTCATTGTCGATGTTACTCATAATATCATTATTTATGCTCCACCAGCGTACACTGAACTAATTGGTTTATCATGGGTAAGTATTCACTTCCAAATACCTGACCTTTTTAAGTATTTACCATAATAATCAGTCTTTCTTTCAAATATCCTAGTCTTTAACTTTTGTCTGCTACTAATGAAATTCTCTTTTCTAGGATTTATGTTTACAAACCGTTCACTGTTGAATAGATTATTTGGTGATGCTGAAAATTGTGATCGTTTCAATTAACAGTAGTATATTGTCACATGTATTACGTTACCATTCAATTGCAGATTCTTTATTGACTTGAGGAAAAGACTGAAAGATTGTATGGTTATCAAATAATAGGATGATACCAATCAATCAAGTTCATTGGTTGTCAGTTTTAGTTATGGAATAAATGTGGTTTAAAGTTTATTATAAGGACTTGATCTGTAAGCTTAAGTGAGTGTAAGTGGTTCTTTAGTTGATGTTATTTCCTAATAAAATTATTTCTAGTTGAACACAATGTTTATAATTAGAATTAGGAATTGGGTGGATTGCAGAAAGGCTAACAAAAAAACATACCATTGTGTTTTATAGAAAATATTTTCACACTAATTGAAAAACAAACAATTACTGGGCATTTTATTTTCATTCATCAATCATGGCTTAATAGAGACACATTAATAGTCCAGGACAGTCCACTTAAATCTGTGATACTTTAATATATATAATATATTTGTTCTCCATAAAGTTGCAGTTTGTTTATTATAACTCAAATATCAGTCACTTAGTTATACGTTTGAGCATCACTTCATTTTCATGGTGTTTTCATCTACCAGTTGGTATAATAGGCTATCATAATGTGTGGTTTAAAAACTTATATTTATGTGTGAAGAGATTGTATTGTTGTTGTTCTCCTTGCTCTAACAAATATCTTTTTCTTTTCACTAATCTATTCCTTATACTACTTTGTAGAAGCGTTGCTAAATGTACCAGTCGTCTGTTTATGAGATTTCAACAAATGTGTTGCTTCTTGTTGTAGTGTTCCTTTGAGTTCTGTTTTAATTTTCTCATTTATGTTTTAATTCTTTAAAAATTAAAATGTACGAAAAGCAAAGAAGTTACTTAAACATATTTTGTAGTAGTATTATAAAGTTGTTAATATCGCTTTTGAGAGCATTATTTCTGTGCACACCGTTTAATTTTGTAGATTATTCTGCTAGTGAACTCATTTATTGTAGTTCTTCATATCATGTGATTTTACGGTGTAGTGCTTGATGCTTTTGATTTCTGAACTTGTTGAAGCCAAAAATTTTATTCCTGAAAATGTGGTTTTAATTATTACATACATCGCTTAAATTTCTTATCATTATTATAAGCAGACTGTTTGTCACACGTATCATTGCTATAAAGGAATTTAAAGTTATCATGGGGTAATCTTCAGTAATATCTGACTGTTCCAAAGTTAAAAATTAGTTCACTGATTTCGTCATACCTTAGTGAAAGATGTCATCAAACTCTCAGTCAGCTATTCTCATTTATCAGCTTTAAGCCAGTTCAAGGTGTCGATAAAAAGTAAATGTTGCTTAATATGGAGTAAAATATTCTCAAAAAGGTACTAAGGTTACGTGATTGGTTCGAATTCCACAGTGGTATTTATTTTGCACTAGTGGCTCTCGTCTACCATATTTATCACAGCATTGTTACTCAGTACATTCTCAGATTCCTTCAAAGCCTCATCGTCAAGTTTAAAAACCAGTTAAATTGTTTAGCTACTTATGTATGTGCTCTGAGAAGCAAAGCACATCTTCCTCACAATCAATAATGATGTTAAGTACACCTACTAATCAGACCAAGTTGATTGCATGCGAGATAATAGATGATGTAGAGGTATGCCAAAACACAATCAGAGGCGAATATTTGTTGTACCGGCTATAAGGACAGGTACGCTCCTTAATTCATATTTTTTTTAAAAATTGATGCATGATGTACGTGGTTTGAAGTGGATCTCAATGATGCAAGTGTTTCCAACCCATAAGTTGCAGATCAAATGACACAGAGGGTAACGATTCCATTGCTAACCACCATCTGAAATATAATTAACCTTTAAAAATCATACAGTACCAAGGAAACCACTTAAGAAACCTATAGACTAACAAAACCTCGTCAATTCAATTTCGAGTATGAACAATGAAAAAGTACAAATGTTTATATGTCATACCAAAATATTGTCTTATTTCTAGTTGCATATAACTTAATACATTTCTTAGAATCATTAAAAGTTTTGTATTGCATAATTTCTATTTCTTGAAATAAAAATTAGGTCACTACAATTGGTTTAAAACTGAACGAATTAGTCGCTCGACAAGTTGCAATGGGGGTTTCATCAAAATTAAGGAGTCACAATTGTTGTCATCATCTTCGCGATTTACAGTATAGTAAATACAATTGTATTGAAAATATGATAAACAAAAATTCTAAACAAAAGTGTGTACAATCTGAACTTGCTGAGATGGAATATGTTGAATGTAACCCGATCAAAATATCTAAACACGCGCTCAAATCAACTCAAATTCATCAAGAGTTTGAACAACCTTTGTCATGTGAAATGATTTGGCCATCATCCTATGGTGTAACCAGTCGTCCATTGGGTCTCAGCTCCATTTTACCAAAACCAACATCAATGTCTCTGTCACACATGGAATGCTCAGAACCTTCGAATGACGAAAAAGATCTAAGTGTACAAGATGTTCAAGATCCTACTACCACAGATACATCAATTTCTAAGCACATAATGAATCAGGTATGTATAATCTTATGAGTTATCGTTTATCGCTATTAACTTCTTGAATACGAGGGTGACACCTGACCATCAACTCCAAGTAAATAATTAAGGTGTAATAACTTACGCTGGAGTATACCAGATGATCCTAATGAGTTGGCTTAAACAGTCTCTAAATCTGGTCGTCTGGTATTTTATTTATAACCACTGTCTTTTCCATCAATATGGAATTTACTTTATTTAGTGACAACTCAGAGAAGTTAGTCTTCTAAACATTTTGCAGTTCAAAAATGTTCGAGATGCATTTTTCTCCTATACAAATGTGGCTTTAGGTAGGGAATGATCTTTGTTGATGCATCATATAATGATAGAGATTAAGGCAATCTAATAGGCTGTTTATTTCAGTAATTTCAGGAATCTCTTCAAGGCTCATGGGTTGATGTATAGAACCATTTTAGTGCTAATGTAGAAGTGTCCTTAGGACACCAATTACCGAGTATATTACTCAGGTAATGGTCTTTAAGATTAACAACAAAGCCGAATTAATTACAGTATCAGTGATATTAACGAAGACAAATCACCAGAGATTATGACTCAAACGGAAGGGATGAGTTCAAGGAATAATAGTTAAAAGTAATGTTGAGGCTCAAAATCTTGCGTAAACGTATTCATGCTCTGAAACCGATTCTGAACAGTATCACACAATCTCTGATCACTGATCACAGTCATCACCCGGATCCTAAATAGGTGGTCTATATCTACCAATAATCTTAACAACTAACAGCTCCATGAAATTCAGTCCATGTTTTTTTTGCTGCTCCAAGTTCCCTTTCAATCTATTGATACTCTAGTAGATATTGTCTATCAAAGTAGGATTAGTTTTAGGGCATGTTGCACATGTCCCCCCTATATCAGTCAATTAAGAGTTAAAGTTACAGCAACTGATTTGAACGATCAAAAATCAAGATACCTGAACCTAAAATGACAGCAAATACTAAAAACAATGTTATATTACCGTTGGGTTTTGGTCTTTTTTTATTTAATCAGCATTAACATTTTACTCCGAAACTGCTATGATTTCAAGTAAAACATGATGATCTAGTAAAGCTACATGATTTTATTTGTTTGTTTTTTTCATATACTTTCTAAGCTATAGTTGCTGGTTTTAATAAATGTTCTTTAATATCTCTCTTTGTCTATCCAATCTAGCGGTATTTCAATCAGTGATTAGTTAGTATCACTGTTGGTTGATAGATCTTTAGTATAGTCTTATCTTAAAACCCCATAATGTTATAGTTTATGTTCAGATGATCTTAGTATGTATCCATCGATAATAATAACAGTATTTTAAATAATGGCAATAATAATAGATCTGTTTACTACCACAAATTTTGTTGCATGAAGAGATTATCAGTATCAGTTATATAAAATTGCAATAAATTTCCCTTCAACAAGTATTTAAATTGTGATTATTCAAAATGTATATCTAAAATGCGTTTTCGATAATTGGTATTTTCTTGTCATTAGAGAAAGTTTACTATCAATTCAGTTGTATAACTATCTTTTTCATATGGAATGTATGAATTCAAAGCGTATGAAAGGAGGGAAATTGATCCATAAGATCAATCCATGGGTTTGAGACTATCGATATTCAGCATTGCTATAAGTTGTAAAAACGTTCGAACAGACTACTGCATCTACAGATACGTTTATTTGGTTTGAACAGTTAAATGGTGTTCATAAGCCTCGGTTTCTAAGCGCAAACGTATATTTAACCTGTCTATTTGCTTTTAATGATTATTCAGTGTTAACTCAGATCCATTTATCAAAGTACCTTTGGTAGTGACTAAAACTTTATTGACATCTGAATGGATCCATTTATCAAGTTTTAAGTATCGATTACCAGATAACAATAGTCATTATCATTAAGTATTTTTACTTTTCTCTCTTTAAATGTGTCGTAGAACAAACAAATGTCTTACCTTTGTTAAGACTGGTCTCTCATCAATCGGTTACCTAACCGTTATAACTGTATTTATCCTACCGTTAATTGATATATTGACAGATTTAATACCGTAAATAATGTAATTTCGTATATTCATCGAAATTATGCCTATTTGATATTCTTATGACGTCATATACATTTCCTTTTAACCGTTTACTGACTGTTGTCCTAATGTGGTTTACAGGACATGAACTATTTTGTTCTGCTGAATTTTGATCTTTGTACGATGAGGAAACTGTTGTTGTTTTTTACCTCAACGCTGTTATTCTATACTGCTTAACGTATTTTTCCAATGTTTTTCACTGTCATCAAGAGTAAAACATTCAGGGTTCAAGGTATATTATCTTTTCTCTAAAAATAAAATGTTTTGCCAAGTTTGGGGCTGTATGTCCTTTGTGTGTATAAGGGGCATCTCTTAAACGATATGATGAGCACAGTGATCTAAAAGCTTATTTCGTTATTCGTATCAACTCATCTATATCAATAGCTTGGAGGTGATATTTTTAAGAAGTATACCAAAGTTAGTCAGTCAGAATTTCGAATTATTTCGGGGTTTCGATGAAGGTCGATTAGATGCGGACATGCCAAATATTCTATGTTCTTTAGATAAGTCTTGTCGTCATTCATACATTTCAGAATCAAAATTCAGTATTCTTCGATTAAAAACAAGTTAACAATTGATATTCATTAGATTTACGCTGGTAAATGAAGAATGACATCCATCGATATTCGTAATAAGAAAAACAGTTCCCTCACTCACCAATTGCTTGAGCATAAGCCATACACTTGGTGTGAGGACTAGTTATAATATCTGGTTTTCAAAACTGAAGAAACTGAAGCATGGTTATAACTGAAGACTTAGTGACTCAAAGTCTTACATCTTAACCACTAAGCTATCCCTCAAAATATTAATTAAGTTCTACACAGTCAATATTGATTGGTTAACAAATAGACTGTACTGAATAAAATCCAGAAGCATCTGAATATATGAGTCTTAAAATTTGCAGCACAACTTGTTCTCTCCCACACGAAACTAACGTTTTTATATTTAAGCATCCGAAACACTTGAGAGCATATTATTTACGGAAAGTTGATTATTAGTCGGTTACCAGTTATTTTCTTTGAGAATATATAGCTATTATATTCAAGTGAATTAAACATAGAATGCATTCACTTATTTGTACATTTCATCTAGTCACTTCATTCTAGTACTATTCCTATCATTATCTGTTTTGATATTTTTTAATTATTCATTTAAATATACCTACAGCTATGTGTATAAATTGAAATCTATCATGAATTCATATTTTATGGATAATAAGCTTATATATTTACATACGTTTTAAATAAATCAATGCATAGCTATATTCATCCATCTGATATTAAACAAAAATGTGTACTTCTAATTAAATAATAGATGCCCTTGACTTCGGGTGTAACATTTTTTTCAAAGTTTTATACAAATAATTGGCATCGAAGAAATAAAAATAAAACTTTGATTATCTATGTATCCTGTTACTTGTTTGATTTGGTGGATTTTATTTTTAATATAACCATACTTTTGTTGATTTATTGAGTAGGAAATATTAATGACTATGTACTTATTTGTGGTTTGCAGAAAGACTGACTAAAATAGCAATGTCCAGTTCTTATGTACCTAGATTAAATGCTGATAATCTCATAAATAAGGATTAAGTTTAGTTCTGTCACTTCTTTCTCAAAGCACTGACTCGATCAATATTAGATCAGTATTAGACATGACGTTTGACTGTGTTTAAGTCTGACATTGAGATATCTGTCAACCCTCTTCAACGACAACTGATCAAAACACCATAAAGTTCATAAATTGTCGACCGTGAAATTGTACATCTATATACATCTTTTTCCATAAACTGAAATAATTTCTCCTTTGTCTTGTCTTTTTCTGTCAGTTGATATTACTTTAGATAAAGTACTAGTATTATCGAACGAAAACTATCAAGTTATTTCGTTTAGATTATAATCGTATAAATTGTAAATTTTTCCCTAATCGTAATCGCTTCCATAATCTAAACAAAGTATTGACACCATTTAATCAGAATTTCAATGATTAACTTCTTTATTTATTGGTTGTGATATTTCACGTAGTATAATGTAATTTGAAAAATAACTTTTCCTAAACTCATTCATCGAAACAGATTATGAAATTGGTTTTTCTCTTTAACTCAAAATTAACCCATTGGATCAAATTGTTCATACATTTCTGATTTTGATAGTTTGACTGTTTAAAAGAAATAAATCTGAAAACAAGCATCATTTTTCATTTTACTAAGTCATTAAATAATTAAACCATATGTAACCCAATAATTATCAGCGTTTTTGTTCACTAGATTTTGTAATACCTTTAATCTAAAAGAACCAACCAAATCACTTGATCATCCTAATCATTTTGTTCACTATGATATGGTTTGAACCGCAGACTTAGCTCTATAAAACCTAGTTATCGTAGGCTAAAAGTTCGAATATATACGAATATATATACACTGGTGAAAAACCTCAATAACCATTATCTGTCTACTACTGATTCTTTATGTGAGAATATTTTGAAAATTGATTTGATCGGTCCGTGTTCATGTTTGACTTTTGCAATTGAACGTTTTGATATTTTTAACTTTTTGTTAGTAATTCATTTACACTTAATTCTAGGATTCACGTTTAATGTAGACCAAATCTTTTCAACTGGGTAAACTTGCCTTATTTCGAAATATATGTTTACTCCGTATACATGGCTGTCAAATGTAATTAAATTGCATTAGATGCTTGGAATGGAAGATATTTTTTGTTCTATGTATTGTTTACTCTCCATTCATTTGGTTCCATGACTACATACCTGGTTTAATGTTTTTGTCTGTATTTTTAAAGGGACACTTCGTGAAATTCCTTAGCTTCTAGGTTATTTGGTTAATATAGTAGTAAACAGATAATCCGATTCAATCTTTGTTATTTGTCTATTGCTACAAGCTTTCAGTTGTCTAACTTCCTTTTTATTTATATAGACTAAATCATTTTGAAAAAAGCTAAACTAACAAACAAACAGATTATTTCTGTTTTGTAATTCAGCCCATCTGTAAATTTGCCATCAAGTATATTAGAATATTTAATCAGAGCAATGTTAGTTTCGTGTAGGAGAACAAGTTGTGCTGCAAATTTTAAGACTCATATATTCAGATGCTTCTGGATTTTATTCAGTACAGTCTATTTGTTAACCAATCAATATTGACTGTGTAGAACTTAATTAATATTTTGAGGGATAGCTTAGTGGTTAAGATGTAAGACTTTGAGTCACTAAGTCTTCAGTTATAACCATGCTTCAGTTTCTTCAGTTTTGAAAACCAGATATTATAACTAGTCCTCGAACTCAAATTGTGGCTTATACTCAAGTATCTGCTGAATAAGTTAATTATATAACTATTTATTTGTCATGATAATTAATATTTGACTACCGGGCTGGATTATGAAGACGTCAATATCTGGAGGGAAGCGCGGTATCAAATGGACAGCCAGGATGCAGCTGGATGATCTCCACTTCTCAGATGATCTGCCTCTTCTATCGCATACACAACAACAAATGCAAGAGAAGTCGACCAGTGTAGCATCAGCCGGTCTCAACATACATAAAGGGAGAAGCAAGATTCTGCGATATAAAACAACATGCGCCAACCAAATCCCTGTTGATGGACACGCCTTGGAGGACGATAACACCTTTACATATCTGGGCAGCATCATTGACGAACAAGGTGGATCTGATGCAGATGTGAAGGCGCGGATTGGAAAAACAAGGGCTGCATTTCTACAATTGAACAACATCTGGAATTCCGAACAACTATCAGCAAACAACAAAGTCACAATCTCCAATACAAATGTCAAGACTGTTCTACTGTATGGGGTGGAAATTCGGAAAACTACGAAAGCCATCATCCAGAAGATACATATGTTTATTAACAGTTGTCTACGCAAAATACTTCGAATCGGTTGGCCAGACACCATCAACAACAACCTACTGTGGGAGAGAACGAACCAAATTCCAGTGGAGGAGGGAATCAGGAAGAAGCGGTGGAATTGAATCGGGCACACTGCGAAAAGCACCTTACTGCGTCACAAGACAAGCTCTCACTTGGAACCCTCAAGGCGAAAGGAAAAGAGGAAGGCCAAGTAACACTTTACTCCGAGAAATCGAGAAAGACATGAGAAAACTGAACAAAAATTGGAAAGAACTGGAAAGGGAAGCCCAGGACCGAATTGGTTGAAGAACACTGGTTGGCGGCCTATGCTCCATTGGGTTGACAGGCGTAAGTAATACCCGAATTATTTTAAATTTATTGAGAATGACTTACGGATTGGTTAAATGGAATTTTTATGTGTGGATTACGCCCAACGATAACTGTTCACTGTACTGTCATTGACGTAAGCACCCATGTATATCAAATGGCGCCATATTTTTGACATATAAACGATGCTTTTTTACGACAACATTATTTAAAAGTAATATTGAACAAAAAATTAGGGTGGTAAAAAGTTGTCTAATTTATTGGTAATTGTAATATAAGTGGGTCGCTTACGTATGAACGAAATAAAAACATAATTACTTGGTATAATTATTCCTCGTTTCATATCCGTATTAAGTCGAACCATATCATGTATTAAGTTTAAATGCAGAACCAGAAATATATTTAATATAACTTACACAATCAACACACTATACACCTTTAATTCAAAATACTAAATATTTTGGCTAATTATAACATCTGCTAGCCAAATAACAGACTCCGAAAATATTTTTCTCTTCTAATAAAGCTCACTCTTTGGAGGTTTTTTAAATTAGCTACAAAAATGAAAGTTGATCCTAGGATTAAACATAACCAATCACTCTGTCTTCATGTGTTAGTCGATTGAAATCATAAAAATGGTAAATACAGATTTTGCATTTACCTATTTGCTAATTCACTAGACCGATGTTTAATAATGTAAATATTCCAGAGAAACTATGTCCTTGATTGCCTTTTATCATCAATTTATCTTGATGACAACAATTTCATCATATCGCTTTTTTTCCTATTTATTTCTCTCAGATTGATTTTTAAGTGGCTTATATATTTAAGTAATACTCATTATTGTTGTGAATTGCTAATCAACAGGGATTTTCTTAGTGTTTTTTTTCCAGTATAACCATCTCCCTCGTATCTGCACCATTAAACTCCGTTGTTAACTTTTTCTTCATTGAATTACATTTAGTATTAAATTGGTTTGTTTTAAATGCAAACAATAATATCATAGTAAATATATATATATATATATATATATATATATATATATATATTAGTAGTTGACTACAGTATCATGTGTTGTTGTTATTGTTATCGTTATTTTGTCGAATCACATGTTTACTTCCAGTTGTGTTTATTCATTTTCTGCTTATTCTGTCTCTAATAGTTTATCGTTTTGTCACGTGCTTTTTGTCTTAACTTAAAATCTCCCTATTACTCATTGCATAAATTTCCATATTTTTTTTCAGTTGCCAGTTGTTATTGATAGTCCATAATGTCTAAATATCAATTCTGTTTTCACGTGTAGTTTTGAATGAATTTATTTTTAGTTATTTACTGGTACTGATCGTGAAAATATATATATATATATATATATATATATATATATAATAAAGATTTTTGATAATAATAGGATACATAGACGTAAATACTACGTCAAGCCGGTCTTATGTACAAAAAATTTTGGAATTTTTGATAATACGATAGTAACACATCATGTTAATCATAAACGCATCATTTATTCAGTCGACTGTCAGCGTTAATTGTTCTACTTTGTTCTCCACACTGCATAGCATTGTACTAGTGCATTGTAATCAAGATTCATTTTGCTTGTCATTCTTTGCACCATCGGTTCAGTATTTACGTTTGTTAAATAATATAACTTTGTGCAGTGAAAGGTTTATTTACAAATGTTAGTTGACTCAAAATGGCAAACATTTACATGCTAAATTTTATATATTGTAAGACTAAACTCTTACTAGTGACGAAGGGAACTTATTCGACCTTGTTTATGTGTGAATCGTTTATTCACCTTTCTGTCCGACTCCTGCATTATTGCTTACCGCCATAGATCAAGATTATCTACACCACTGTCAAAAGAAAACTGTGACAACGTCTGGAAATCTCTGGAAGCACTGGGGTTCTACAAAACATGACGATTCGTTATTAAGCAGTCATGTATTCTGGTCCATTTCTTACATATAGATACTGTTGTTTAGCTAAACAGAATTGAGCCGTGGTTCCTAATTTACTTAATTGTATCATACCAAGAAAGTGGTATTCTCCATTGGCCGGTATAAAAAGCTTGGTTTCAAGACAAGTACATTCCCTTACATTCTATTATCTGCTGTTCACCCAAATTTCATTGTTTCGTTTGATTGTTTTAGACATAATTATTTTTAAAAAGTGATTCGTTATACATCTTAAATTAGTTTCTGTTATTCTGATCATCTGTGTTATCTTTTCTGGTCCTTACCAATTTATTAAACATGTAAAGTTACATTTTCAACCAATCTGTTCAACAGCCAGATAGGCCTAAATGTTGTAGAACTTAGTGTAAATGTCTCAGGTGTAGTTTATCAATCATCAATTAATTATGCTATGAATAAACTTAAACTTATTTTCATAAATTTGTCATTTGATAAATTCAACACCAATAATTCTCTCACATTGATTTTGTTCATTTCTTTTTATTCTATTCTCATTTTATTTCCCAAAGTACGCATTATGTTGGAATAGTTCAAATGTATGCATAAGAAATACATTATCAAAATATGGCGATCTCACATTAGATATCAGCTGTAGTTCGTCGTCGTCATCATCATCATCATCACCGTTTCCATTTTCAAATAATCATAACATAATCAATAGAGCTAATGTAGATCATTGTAATACCACAGAAATGTTGCAGGTTAACAATGATTCAAATGATTTTCATAGTATCAGTGTTGGCAGTGAAAATGAATCCACGTTTACTTCAAATGATACAAATCTTCGAATATATTTATTGCAACCTATCCATTTATCAAATATGACTAATAGTATGAATAATTGTGGTAATAAATGGAATCATGGAGCATGTATTAATGGTAGCAATCATGTTACTAATTGTAATATCAATAGTATTCCAGACAGTAATAACAACACTAAAAATAGTAGTAAAACCAATAACAGTAAGAACAAGAATAATTCTTTTGATTTTTCTCTAAATCCATCATTTTCTGTATTTAATGAAAACAAAAGCAATGCTGTGGAAAAAAACAATTCATTGGTAAAATTTTTCAACAGCTGCGGTTCATGTCGTACAGGTTTATCAGATTCATTTAAAACCTATCATTCACCCACGAATTTACAGTTTATAGATATTGCTAATGAGTAAGCATTTTTTTGCTCAATGTGCTTTTTATTCAATTGAGTTTTTACATCATTTGCACAAATTTTTTATGTGTAGGTTTTGGATCACAGACGTTTTCGAAGAATCGCTAGTGTATCTTAAGGCGACAGAGTTATAACATGTGTTACGTACGTCTAACCACTGCCTACCTTGTCGAATAGTGCGTGCTTGTCTTGAAGTAGCTTGGAAGAAGACTAAAGGGAGGCAGACGAAAATGTGAAATCAGTACAAGAGGTAAAGTATTTCGAAGCACCGATGATCACAAATGCTTCACAGAAAGACCGCGTGGTTAGCCTAAAGCAGTCGTCATACCATCAGGTCTCTATGGCCACTACCAATCCAGTTTCCTTTTCAGACAACTAAAGAAGAAGTACCCTTCCACGGTGGGGGCTTTAGCAAGTAACAATCGCCCATAAAGCTGTAACGGTACTAGAGATCTTTTTCACGTCTGAATCCCTTCATAATTTCCTAATATTCCTTCGATCCCCATCATCAAATCTTCTCCTATGACTCTATCTTCTTACGCCACCAGTGCTAATTTTTGGAATCTACGAGATGCTATCCCTGGTTTCTTTAAACTTCCCTCTTAACTACATGTTGAAGTTTTCGGTCTTCGGACCTTAGATTAACTTTGCCAAAGGGCTTCCTTATCCAGGACTGTAGTAGACTATGCCATCGATACATACTGTGTCTCTAAAACACTCGTACTAGATCCAAGTGTAGTCATTCACTTTTTATCACCTAGTCAATATAGAGAACCGGCGGTATCCACTCTCCGTGAAGTATTAAACAACATCTTTCAAAAATTAAGTCAGTTAACTGATCGTAAGCAAAAATTATATACATATTTGCCTATGTAGTTTGACATGGTCAATTTTATCTACCATGTCCATTTAGTTTTCTAATTTTGCCTCAATGAAATGTTACAACATGAACTATTTATAATCGTTCTTCCCGTCGTTCTTGTTTAGGACATTTTGTAAGCATATTACATTACAGATTGTCCGTAATTTCTTAGCGACTATTAAAAATAGTAGCGATTCTGTTAGTTGTTTTTTTTTTAAGTTTAACATTTTTATTTTGAATTAATATACATGAGATATTGCTTTGTTCAAATGCATTTACATTTTTAGTTACTAATGTTGCAATCTAGTCTTCTTTGCAAATTCATTTATCGATCTCATTTTTTCTCTTTATGTTTAGTTTCTTAGATCAGTTGGGTTATACAAAAGTCGAACTTCTAAATAAATGTTTATTCGATTTGATACATATTGATGATTTGGTGCATATATCAGAAGCAATGAATACAGGTTAGTTGATTAGTTTAACAATTGTGTTTAATAATTATGTCCATAATAAGCTTAACAGTATAATTTATGTTATTATAGTAATGTGAATGTTCATATTTCATTTTAATTAAAAGGTCAATATTCTTTGTATTGGTCATTGTGAGAAGGCGAGTGATATTTTTAATGCTTATTAGTTTTTTTTCCGAAAAGTGAAAACTCTAATTCTATATTCTTGTTAACCTATTCTAAACGTTAATCTTATTTTATTATAACTCAATGTAAATTTCAACATATTGAATTTATGGTTGTCATTACAATTAAATGAACAATTCACTTATTTATCTTAATTAAATAAACTCAAGCCATCAGAGTATGGTTTATGCATTGACATAACAATCTGGTCAAGGCAATCCATTTTTAACAGCTCTACCAATTGAACATATTAGTAGGTAGTTTAAGATGCTGACATTACTCATTCATTTGATTGTTTGTGAATTTTCTGAATATATTAGGTTCATGTATGTTGACTACTAGAGTAGTTTCCAGTTTTGCTACATCAAAAATGATATATTGTAGTCACAAAATGATGGTTATATAGATTTCGTTTAGGTAAATTGTTCATTCACATTTTTCGATTAAGCATTAATTACTGTACCAATCCGATTGTCGATTCTTCACATTATGATGATGATTTTCAAACAAATGCTATTGGTCATGTTCATTGACAATCATATTGATACGAACTGTTATTCCGCCTTAGTCATCATCGATTAACGCTTCTTATTTGCTACTAAATTTCATCCGACAAAATTCTCTTATTCTTAAACGGTCAGTCAGCTTCATTTATCATGATTGCAATTATATCTCTTCTGATCTATATGATCAAATAGTATTCGCTTAGAATAACATTGTTTCAGAAGAGGTTATACTTTTAAATTGAATGCCAGTTCGGACAGTAACTGCCTAGATGCGTATAAACTCTATTCCTTGGTATAGAATCTAACATTGTTATTTGACTTTATACTACAAGTAAATAATGATAAATGTATAAAGCTGTTTATAATTCCTATACTTAATTGATTAGTATCTGTTATACATATGTACTGCTTTGAACTGAACTCTGCTTTCTATGAAAACAATTTTAAAATGGTATTATGCTTTGAACTTCGTTCTATATTAGATTCTGATTGTTTTGTTTAGCATAATTATTACTTGTTAGTTGTAAGAAAGTTTCGTATAGAAATTCTTTAATAGTATAAAGTGATTTAAATGTTGTGTAGTATTATGTCAAACAATGTTCAACTTTCTCCAGTTAAATATCAAGTCAAATCATACTCTGACATTTTGACCTTTAATTAAAGGGTGATGATAATGATATTGTAACCATTAATCTAGTTCATGATTTAGTCGTTATTTTGTATGAATATAATTAATTCTAATTGCCTATAGTTTTCTAATCTCTATCATAAGAGTTATGTAATGTGTTATTTTATTGTCAGATACATAATATTTTCACTGAATAAACATGTGCTCGACTGACGTTTGCCAACTTGCGTCACGTGAGACGTATGTGAGATATCCGTTTAATGATCGTAGGACGAGTTCACTGCGCAGCGATTCTCTCCGTCCTACTATATGGATGCGAAACATGGATGCTAGGAGTTGAGGATATTCATAGGTTACTAGTATTCGATCGTAGGGGTCTTAGAAACATTGCTCGTATACCTAGGGACCGTGGAGTAATCAATGCTGGGGTTAGGAAAAAGGAACTTGGTAATGTTGGCAGATCAATTAATGAAGTAGTTGGTTTTCGTCAGTTGAAGTGGTCAGGACATGGGTTAAGTATGCCTAACCACCGACTACGGCGACGGTTAATGTCTGATGTAGGGATCGGCTAGAAGAAATCTCGGGGCGACCAAACCAAAACATGCCACAAATCCATGAACTCACTGACAAGTGGATTGTGCCAAGTTGGTAGGTGTAGACTGCCTGACTGACATCCGCGAGATGATAGTAATCAATGGTTAGAGACCTTGAACGACATGACTCAAAAGAGTTTGCTATGACGCAGGTGCATCCACTCTTTGTCTTCTCTCAAATTGTAGTGTTCTGAATTCATCATGTCTTACTTTCTCTTTCCAGATTTATTTCGCTGGGATTTACCTCTCTAATGATATCTTCGATCCCTAATCCTTTTGATTATGGCTAATACTTTTACTACCTCTACTAATATAGGATTTGAATTGATAGTTTGATCTCTGTGTGCTAATGTAGTATGGCAGCTTGAACTGATGTACGTACGTGCCGAGTTCTACATTGTTTCTAACTGACTGACAGAATCGTGTGTTTAAAAGCAGAGCGATTCCATTGGAATATTAATTTTTTCTAATGTGAGCGATTGTCAGTGTAACGATTCTTCTTTTCGATGACATTCACTGAAACCATACAACCATATTTATATTTATTTACAATGCATAGAAGTATGTCGGTAAACACAGTGTGATTGTGTCACGCGCTTCTTAGAAATAATCTTTTTTTTTACCCAATATAACACTCTTTTTCCCAATATACTTCTATACATTTTAAGTAAACCTAACTACAATACCACAACTTCAGTAAATTCCATTGAAAAGAAGAAACTTCACACTGATAATAGTTTTTTGTTCCTGTTTTATCAGTTACTCATTGAAATCGCTGTGTTTTCACACAAATACATTTATTGAGATGAAGTGTTACTTTCTTATTCAACATTATTTTGATAATCATCGTTTACAAAAACATTCACCTTCATTCAGAACAAATATCAATATGATTTAAAGAGGAAATTACACAATAACTACTTCCCTATCTTTTTTTTTTAAAGAAAAATTAATATCTATCACTGTGAATCGATATCTCACACTAATTACCACAATGTTCTTGTTTGCTTGTTTTTTGCCTCGTCTTTCTTTTAAATAACTTGTGTTACAATTAGTAAAAGAAGAAAAAACAAGCCGTCTTTGTTTTTCATTTCAAATGACTAAAATAATATTTTGATGATTTTGTAATTTCTACTCAATATTTCTAATTGATAAACTGAATGTTTTCATAGTTAATCTAACACAATTCATGTTGAATTTCAGTTGATGAAAAAGAAAGTTAAAGTTCATAGTCATTATTATAAATGGTGTCAATCAGCTGAATATATTATTATATCATCACATTTGTGATTACACAATCATCCTGAATAGATGACAAATCACGAAATGTTATTACTATTATTATTATTATTATTTTTGTTATTGTATTTCAAAAAATAAAAAGATTTTTGTCAGTTATTTTTCTTCAGTGTTTCTATTAGATGAATCATAAATGATAATAACTCTTGTTAGTATACAATTTTCTATTGGTTAAATATTACACAATAAATTTTTACAATTAAGCATAATTGTTGAAACGTGCTTTATAAACTTATTTCATGCCGCCTTTTTATATAAAATAATTTCACCAAAGAATCAATCTTTTAACAGTCATAATTTTAATAATTGTTTAACAAGAGTTTACCTTCTCTAACATATAAAATCATACTTCAGATGATTATACTCAACTATTGAAATTTCAGTAATTTCTATGTTAAATTTATTTAATTGACTCAAATTACTTTAACGAAAAAATAAACTGTTTGTATCAAATATAATTCTTATGTGTAATATCTTTTATGTACTTAGTCCCCAATTTCTGTCAAATTGTTTGTTGGAATTTTGAAGAATGTTTATAAAAAATATTTATTTGAAACAATCAAATAACACAATTCAAGTATAACCTAGTTATGCGAAAGTTAATTAGTGATTTGATTTTGCATTGCGTGAGACAACTGAATTGATATGCATCATATTTATCATCAGCAAACTAGATTACTTTTCAAATGTATTCGTTACGGTGTTTAAATTTCTTTATACGCACTAAAATATGCTGGAGTAGTAATTTAAATATTTATCATCTGAATACCTAGGAAACGGGTCCTAGGTAAGGATATCAGGTCAATAGATCAAGTATTGAAACTTCATCAGTTGAGGTGTTTTGGACATTCATTACATATGCCTAACCACCGACTGCCTCGACGAGCTATGTTTTGTGGTGTAGGAGTAGGTTGGAAGAAAGCTAGTGGCGGCCAGACCAAAACATGGCAGAAATCCATAAAGTCACTGACAAGTGGACTGAGTCATGTTGGTAGATGTAGGCTACGTGGTTGGGGTCCGCGAGACGATAGTCACCAATGGTTAGAGACCTTGAATTACATGGCTTAGAATCGTTTGCAATGGCGCAGGTGCATTTATTCATTGTGTTCCTCAAATTCTTGTCGTGTGAATTCATCATCATCTCTAACTTTCTTTTACTATAGTTATCTCACCTCTCGAATCATATCTTCGAACCCTAATCTTCTCGTTTACTGCTAATACTTCTGCTATCTCTACCACCATGGGATTTATAATGACAGTTGCGTCTCTGTGATTATACGGTATGGTAAGCAGAACTTATGTACTCATGTACGAAGTTCCACGCTGTAACTGACTGACTGAATACATTGAAATAATAAAGGATATTTCAACTAACTTAGAATAGATACTTTGGTTTAGTTGTGAAGCTCTTATTACTTTTTCATTATTTGTGAACTTAAAAATTTTCAAGTTGATGAGTTTCAAACAGTACCAACTAAGTGTATCAAGAGGGTTTTTCATGTAGTCCAAATCGATTCACTTACAATCAACCACTCACTCATTGATCAAAACAGAAGCGCTTACAAATAATAATTCGCACTATACCTTTCATGATGTCCATTGTGTATTGAGACAATTTTGATTATGAATAGACAATATTTGGGCGAAACTAATCAAAAGCCTAAAAACACAAAATTGTTTTTGTTGATCTTTTTTGTAACGTGTTAATATTAGAGGAAAATATTTGTTTAAACTAAATAGCACAATTTCAACCTAGATGAATAGATCATCACATTTTCAATCAATAAACAGTAAACACTTGTTAATGGTTGTTAAAATATAATTTTATATTTATCTGATAGTAAGTTGAATAATCTTACAGGATAAAAGTTAAATTATATCCATTTTATAATATATGATTCGATTGAATGTGTTTGTGCTTTAGTGTTACCCTGGCGTAACAGTGTCACCAATTATAATAAATTAATCTGTTGTTAAAAAACTTTGTTTTATCCTTTGTCACTATATATGATAGTGATCATTAATCATAATTTTATTTCGAAATGAACTAATAAATATTAAAATAAACTGGTTCAATGATAATAATGATTATCAGGTATTATCATTGAATTCAATTAATGCACTAATGTACACAGGTGTGCATTAAAACAGATGGGGACTTTTCAGTGTTTATTGATTCCTTAGTACCATACTCTATAATCTGTTGTAAATGTTCGATGATTTCCCTTAAAAATCAATAGATAACCAACTGCTGATTCAGAGCAACTCATCTCTGTACTAATATGATTTAAAAATATTTAGCGTGTGTAAATTAGTTTTTTCGGTCGTATAAAACAAGTATTATTATTATTATTTTTACCAATGATTATTTTGTTTACCATGAAGTAAGTAATGGCATAAATAGTCGAACAATGAAATTTCTGGTTTTGACGTCATAGTTTGTTATCTGGAATTCATATTCTCGTCATTATTATTATTGTTATTGCATTTTTGAATGACGACAGCATATCAGTTTATATTTACTCATATTAAAAATTTACATTAGTGATTAGAAATTTTGATTTTGAAAAATTCTAATTTTTCCAAATTTGTTTTTGTCTGTTTTCTCGATGATTGTTTATTGCCTCGTGTAAATATATATATATATATAGCTTAAAATACACAATAAATATTGTAACCCTGTGAATCGATTGAATAGCCTATGGAAGGGGAATAAGATAGACAATATCACTCTAGTTAGATGAGAATATTTTTATGTGTGATTATCCACTATAATCAACAAGCGATCATTTAATGATCATTTCTCCTTCAGAGATTTATTTTTTCTAATCTATTTTGCTTTTTTTTTTTGTAATAATTGAAATAATTTTAGTGAATGAAAATCAACCGGTAATCACTTCATTTTATCGATTACGATTAAAATGTGGAACATATTGTTGGGCTCGTATGTTAATCTATCATATGAAACGATCACATTATCATATGTCAAATGCTTCTTCAATCTTAACAAATGATCAACCATATAATTATCAAAATCAAATGAATAAAATATCAGATTGTTGTATGAATTGTAATGAATGTTGTTTTAAAAAATTTGACAATAGTAATTCATCATCTCATTTGGCAACTTTGGATGGAATGAATTCTTATGACAGTTGTACATCTTCAGATTTATTGATCTGTTGCCATCAATTATTTCAGTAAGTTAATCATGTGATCGTTTACGTATATTTACATCAATTTATTGCATGAAATATTTGTGTTCACATAAGAAATTTGTTCATCGTTGAAGTTTTTAAACCATTGACTTAGTGAAATCTAATCTTCATATTTAGAGAGATATATTCAATCTTTATTTTATGCTGTTAGATGCAATAATAGTCACTTGTTGGCTTAACTTCATCAGAAAACATCATCAGAAGCGAAATCAAGCACAGGAAAAAATAAACGCATCATCCTGCCATACATCAAAGACATATCGGAGCATACGGCACGACTACTGAAACCATTTGAAATAGGTGTGGCATACAAACCAACAGAATCACTTCAACCAATCCTATGTAGACCAAAGGACAAAATGACAAAGGAAGAAAAACCAAATACCAGCTACAAAATAAATTGCTCAGACTGTGAAAAACACTACATAGGACAAAGTGGACGACCTCTTCAGCTCCGTTTACGTGAACATCAATTAGCAGTCAAACGCCACGACAACGCTTCGCTTATATCAATACACACCTACAATTATGGACACACATTTGATTGGAATAACGTGGAAATACTGGGTAGGGTGAGGATAAAGAACACTAGAGAATTTTTAGAAACTTGGCACTCAGGTCAATTAGCATTCAACAAACACATCGACATTGACCCAATTTATCAACCAATCAGGAAAATTATAGGTGACACAGGATCAAGAAACCGATCAAAAGGGGAATACAATCAAAACAAAGTTGCAAACAATGACAGGTCAAAGGTCAACAGCAACCAATCAAGATCGAGGTTAGCAGAACAAGCTACAGGTCAACCGTGGAGAAATTCGAATGCTTCACTTCTATCTGAAGTTTATGCTGATGATGTTGTTCAGAAGAACAATGAAAGCTCCACAATCAAAACAACCAGCTGAGAGAACGAAACACCACCACAATCATCCAACTGAGCTACAACATTTCTCCACCATCTTAACTCTTGTTACATCGAATTATATATTATTGATATATATGCAAGCACTAAGTCTAACAATCAAGTCTTGACATTAAATGATCCCCAAACTGCCTATATTCAGTCGTTCATGACACCTAATCATTCTGCTTTTCTGAGAATAATTTTTCATCACTTTAGGGTTGTAGAGATGGCTGAATTTCACTGAAATCATGGATCAATCGAAGCCGAACTTCTTGGGTTTGATACCCACTTACTGGGTGGTGGATGCACACGGCTGAGTCCCATGTTAGGAAGAAATGGCCTTCCAGTACTTCCAAATTTCTAATGATGGTATATCGTTAATCGGTCCATGATTCCAATGAAATAACTTTTTCCGTCGGTATCCCATGTTTCTTATATGAGTTGATACATTCCTAGAGAGTTACAAAAATCTTAGTTCCTTAGTCACAACTCAAAGTAGGGTTGACTATATTGATGTATGGTTTTATTTGTTGCTGAATTAAAGATGTAAACTACTTAGTCTTAAAGTTTTCAACTTAAAAATATTATCATCTTCAGTTAAATTAGTTGGTAAAAGATCGAAATTTTTTCAACACCTAGATCAAAAGATACGTATAATTTCGAGCTACAGCTTGTGCACTAAATGAAATGTACTACACAATTTGTGTATTCCGTCAAGATTGTATTTCTACATTTTAATTCGGAATGTAACAAGTTCACTGTATATGTATGTATATGTATGTAGCGTGACATTTTTTTTTAAATTTCTTCTTACAACTAATTCCTAATTTTTCATAAAATAATACTCCAACGTTTACTTCATCATCCATCATACATCATCATAGTCTTGTAAATTTCATTTATGAATACAATTTCTGTCTAATATGAACTTGAAAGTCGACATGTGTAATCACTTTTATTTTTCTTTATTCAAATTCATTAACTAATTAAAATATGATATGATAAAATAGAAAAAGAAAACAAACGAAGTATGAACCACACCTTTATTTTATATATAAGCAAAACAAACATACAAACAGGACAACAAAATGTAAACGTGACTGCATTTTTTGCAAAAAGAAAAAAAATTTTAATTTCATATTATTTAATTATTTATTCATGTGAAATTATTATTTTTTTCTATTAGACAATATTAAAATAACGTATGACTTTAACTTAACAAAATAAAACTAGTAGTATGTTTTTCTTTCTTCATTAGAGATAAATTTTTCACGTGCATTGTTCATTTTGTATTGTTCTATTGGTAATGATTATATGATTTTCATAATAATATTTTCTACAAATATCAATGAATTTGAAAGAATTTCATCAAGTAAATTTTTGTCAAAAACGAAATTATTGTTCATTTAAAATATTTTTTTGTTTGTAGATAGAACAATTCAACTATTATTTTGTCTAATGTATTTTTTAATAGGATGATTAACAATGTAATTGTAATTGTCATTTTGATTTGTGCATTTGGCAACAATAAATCTTACTTTATTATACCATCTAAAATTGATATTTAGAAGTTATCACAATTGAAATCGTCAACTGTTATTCACTATCTTTTAATATGAGACACTATTCAGTATAATATTTTTTATTCAATCAATATCTGATTTCTTTAAAAATTTCATAATTATGAAATTTATCGTTTAGTTTATTAATTATGTTCTACAATTTAAAATTTCTAAATTTTCATATTGATTCTTCCGTTCTATGAACAATTCAATACGAATAGAATTTTGGTGAACTATTTATTATAATATATCCAGTCAATTATGTATATGTTATTGTCTGTTACTGTTTGTATAACTGAAAATAGTTAGTTTAATTAAATACGATTTGGTTTAAATACTTCAGCATATATCTTGATCACTGTGTAATAAATGAAAATTCGTATGATTTACACTAAAACCCTCTGCATATTTATGTTAGTAGGTATCAAAGTAAAAAGATGTAAAGTAATACTGCTAGTCTTAGTTATAACCGATAATTGTCTACTGTGCAACTGATTGTAATTCTCTACACAAATATACATTGTCTTAAACAGTTCATATATATTATGAAACGATGATATTCTGTAAGAAGATGACAAAACAAGACCCAGTATATTTGCATCTAGTTGAACAAACCATGTCGTCTATATTCAGCTGAAGTTGATTTCACATAATAAAACAGAAGAAATTTTGTGGTGTGAAACTATATCATAACAACACTGAATGTAATTAATTTTTTCATTCCTTTTTCATATCTTAACCACACAAGCTGTGTTTAGATTTTGATTGTTTTCAACTATTTACTTAACTGTCATGCTGTCATAGTGAACAAATCGATTACCCCTCTTCCATATCTCATAATATTAGTGTATTTTTTTCTGTGACGTTTGTTTAAATTTTTTTTTTCAACATTTTATATTTTCCACAGTTTCTATCATTCCAATGATGTATGTGAAAGTTTATCGACCATTGAAAAAGTTACATCTAATTGTCGCAATGATGTCAAACAACAGCAACAATCTCAAGTTGAGCCCAATAAATATCAATATTTACATGAAAATAATGAGTTTGCCTCTTATTCATCAGTATTCACATCTCAATCATTCACAAAAACACTTACTGATCAACAAAACCTCATGACAAAATCTACTACTAATAATGGTAATCAAATCAAATGCGAGGCTGAAACTTCTGCTTTTGTATCCAATTCATATGGATCACATTTTATCTCGATTCCAGCATCATCTTATTATATTCAAGGTTAGTTTTATTCATTGTGAAATTAAATTTACGGTTTTTAGAATATTTTGTAGAAAAAATCTTTAAAAAGCTTTAGTTGGTTTTTACTTGTTAACAATGAGAAACAAATTAGTTGTTTTTCCAACTCTACTCATTATTTTTTCATACCTCGATAGAATGGAGCTTATGGCGTAATACAGTGGTTTTTGTCGTTTGATTTTCAATCATAATGTTTTAGGTTAGAGTCTCACTCCAGTTTCTTCCGTTTTGACAACTAAGTAGTTTTAATAGATCATTCACAAATACCTTGTGGATAAATCAATTGAAAAAAAACTAACTACTATTTACATCCTTTTTTCTGTTGCGTTTTATGTAATCAATGTTTTTGATTATTTCGTAAGCTAATAGAATCGAAGTGATTGTTTGAAAACTATATGAACCTTATGATTATAAGAGTCGAATAATTTGACCACCTGTTAGTAAAAATTACCAGTTTAAATTCTGCCACTCTGATGATATCTGGTAGAGTAGTAAACTTCATTGCTCTGTTTTCATATTCTTTACTTTTCATTGACAATTTTGTGTATGTTAAACATAATTACGAGCAGTAAACAGATCGTCATCTGATTATGATTAGTGTAACTTTCTCTTTCCTATGGGTTCAAAACATATTACACTGAGTGATTTTACACACATACCATTCATCTTAAATATACGAAATTAATTAATCAATTGTGTCTAGATATCATTTATGTGAAACATAGTTTATATTATCGATCTTGTCTAAGCAAGTGTTGTTAGACACGACAGTGATTTGGACGCTTGTTTGCAGTTTTAGCCTTAATAGTCAAGTCAATGGTTTCATTACTCTCCAAAGGTTCATTTTTATTTGATATTCAGAAAAAAAGAAATATTTTGTTTTAGAAATTGTTTAACACTTTATTCATTGAACCTTTAACCTCAAGAAAACTTATTCTTAATCATGTACATACGTTGACTGTAATTAATCCTTAAAGATCGACTTCATCTTAGACTTACTTAAGTAAGAAAGCTGTTGAATATAAAAGATTATTCGATAAGGCTTCCTCTGTTATTTAGGACTACTATGTATTTGGTACATTCCTAAAGACTAACACTCTCCTATTCACTCACTAAATTTAGATTGTGGTGTTTTTAATTCATAATTCTCATGAAGAGATATTCACTACTACTCTTACAGTGAATAATACTACAGATCAGATCTCCTTATTAAAGTTTCAGATCTGAAATATTAGTGTATTCTTTTATTGAAAAAAAAAATGTATTTTTGAAATTAGTAGAAGTCAAACAGACCATTTTTTGCCGCTATTATAAATTTATTTATGCTATTCTATATTGCTGTTAGATGAATCAAAACAAATGGATACGTTAATTCCATCATCTTCATCATGTAATGAAAAGGAGATATCGTCTACATTGTCATTTGATCCATCCATTTCTTTATCATCTCAACACTGTCAACGTTTTGGTACTACATCAAGAGAAAAGGACATACATATTGCAAATAACCAAGAAGTTACCACTGTAAGTACAATAGGAGCAAAATTGAAGTTAGATGAGCATCATTTGTTGAATCATTCCGTTCATTCTGTTGTTTCTGGTCCTACCATTACTGTATCTGATTCAATGAAGAGAAGTAGTCCAAATTTACCTTGTCTAACTACTGAATTGTATACTTACAATTCACCTACACTTAAGGATAAAATTTATCATAATAAGTTAGAAAATGCCTGTTTAACAACTGCAGCCGTGGTTAATACCAGTGTGGAACCTCAGTCAAAAAGTCAGGTACGTTTGTTCATAATTTCATGGTATTTCATTCATCTTTAAGGTATTCATTTCAGAGTTTATCCAGTATATATTAAGCAGGTTTATAAACACACCAATATTTCCCAATCCGACATTCACTTTAGATCTTTTTCAGTACTACACTACCATATAAATATACATTATATTTACACTTTTAAACTGTAATATTCGTTTATTGACTAAAGGGTGCTTTGTTGTCACTGGCATCTGTTTTTCGTTGCCTTGTTTTTTATGAGATATAGTTAAAGATACTGAATAAGAATTGATAAGTTATGCTTTCTGTTCTCCTTTTGTTGGTATTCATACTTGTTAAACAAGTCAATCAGGAAACTGATTCTCCACAACATGCTCTGACAAATTAGCTCTATTTCTCGTCATCACTACTTGGAAGCTTATCAGCAGTAGTGTAATGTCTAACTTCTTTAGTACACTAGCAATGTATGTTAGCACTATTGATAATGGTAACTAACCGAACTAAACTTTTATCCTGAATGCAAAAATTATTTCATACTGCTTTACAGTATCTGAATGTATACTGATGATAATGGCGTTCAGTTTGTTTCGGATTTTGAAACATTTGTCAACTAAAGCCCATAAGTTTAAGAAGTAACTTAACCAATGTAGTAATAAAAATACTATATTTGTAGTATCCAAGTGAGTAGAAAAATTAAAATTGTAACTATATGTAATCCACTTCAGACGATAAATAAGCAAATTAAATCAAGTCAAGTTTAATTATTACAAAGGATCAAAGCAAAGGTATTTGGTACAATCAATCAAAAATTACATCTAACCAAGTCAGTGTCATATCACTCCAGTCAAGTTGATTTAATGAGACATATTAGTATGCGTGTGTGTGTGTGTGTGCTAATGAATGTGATGCAAAGTAGATGCATTACTTATTGAAAAATCCACTTATTTTTTTAATATTAAATCATCTTTATTTTACTCATTTGTATTGTAAGTCTGTTTTTCACACCTAATAATAATAATATTTTCAAACTACTTTAGATATTTAAACAAACTTTACCGAATAAAGCATTCAATTCTTCTGAACAATACGAAAATCAAAAGAATCCATTTAACTGCAATCCATTTTCAGATCCCAACAATTATCGTCCGCCTACAAATTGTTATAATCCATGCTTTAATGATTCGAATTCACATAGTATTGTCCAAAAGCCACATGTTACGTCATATAATACTTCTGAAGATATTTTTGATTATTCAACAATAGATTACAACCCAGAATTTCTTCCACAAGTTAATATTTGTCCTGTATTTAATGGTATTGTTCAAAAAGAATCCGATAATGTGTATTTTGTTCCTCCGAAAAAACGTGAGTACATGGTATTATAATGTCATTATGTATTTTTATTTGTTCCATATCACTCTCCTTATTTAAAAATAACTGAGTATTCAATCTGGTCTCATTAATAATGCTTTCCAATTGTCGTGATACATTATACTAATAAAAATAATACTTTTTACTACAGTATTAATAAAGGTACAACATAACATGGAAATCTACTTGTGTCGATTTGTTTAAATTAAGCAGGGTGATACGGAATGGTGTGTAAAATGTGAATACTCATCAAGAAACTGTGAGATTGTCCTTATTTATCAATTCACTTAACTCCTAACATTCAGTTACAATAGGCATAAACTACTCTGTCAGTTACGATTGAAAGAAACTGAATGGTTGTATTTATCGAATGAATGTCAGAAAGACTGACAACTGTGTACTTTTAGATGCATAAATCAACTATCAAACGTTTAATAGCAGTAGTTAGTTTACTTACATTTCTAACTTCTTGTGCAGCATACACCGCCCACCAGATATCTCCGAAATGTTCTGTCCTAGAATGTTATCAAGATCATAAACTCACCTAAGTTAGATATTGTGAGTTGGCGTTGTCATATCACAGGTCGGTTTTAGTTAGACATATATACTGTTAAGTGCTAACTCAATGGTATAAATCTTAAGCAGTCTCTATCAGAACTGAAAGTACTCAGTTAATCCACCTTATGGGTCACGGATACACATTCATGTAGGGTCTAATACTAGGTTCAAATATCTATCTTATACATCCTAGTTTTTAATGATTATCAAATTGAATGAATTTAATGAAAATTAATAAAATTTGGTAATAAGCCATTCTCTGTCAGCTGCATGACAGTATCAAATGGTGAAACTTATCACTATTACTATCCATTTGATGTTTTTTATGTATTGAAAAGAAGTTGGATGTTGTATTCCATCGTCGAATTTAATTATGGCATATACACGTAACTGACGACTATGCAAATAAAATTGAAATAAGTAGAAAGGTTTGATTACCACATTGAATTATAATGTATACAGATTATTAGGTATATGTACCACTGTCTTTCACAATCAAACAAACGCAATCGACCTCCTTCAATGACATATCTTGTTTAAAACCTTGAGATGGCATTTAATGTTCAATTTGTTTGCATTTACATGAAAATATAATTGTCTCTTTTTTCTCTTTTTTTGATTTTCTATTTTCTTCATACCAGCTTGTTTATATCCGCTAACTAGTAATACTACTAATAATAATGATACAAATGAATTCAATCAAAACTCTAGTAATTTCAATTACTCAAATAAATCATTTAATGGTTTCGTAAACACAATTCAATCTACAAATTTTTTAAATCATCATTATTCCATTATAAATAATGAACATGTAAATGATGCTACTAATTATTATCTTAATGATAATGATGATAAAAATCAACCAGTCAACAATTATGAATTATTTAATCCTAATTTACAACAACATTATCATCAAACTAATCAATGTTATTTTGATTATCAACAACAACAACAACAACAACAACCGTCACAATCATTAACAACGCATCATTATCATGATCATCAACAGTCGTATACGCTTGACAATTTCACTAACAATAGCACATTGATTTATTAAATGAAATCAAAATCATGATGACTATGTTGTTGTTGTTGTCATCGTCGTCGTCTCTGTGCGTACGTGTGCATGCGTTGTGTTACTACTAGGACCGTTGAACCATATATATCTGATTATTCCTAATATTTTCTTTTTTAGTTTTATTTTTCACTACCTTTGGCTTTTCATCATCATTTTACATAATTGTTTTTGGTTCTTTTTGCTAGGATACTTTATCTTCTAGACTCATATTAACTTGTCTGTGTTTATTATTCATCATTAAGAGTATTTATTTATTTACGTATTTACTAAATTATGGAACAATGATTGTTTTAAGCGATTTATTATTATTATTATTATTATTATTATTTTATCGATTATTTTGTTGATTTTTTTTACCCCTCCCTTCCCTACCTTACAACCCCAGAAAATGATTATTATTATTATTATTAGTATTATATATTGCTCTATCACCATTGAAATTGCTATGACACTTGCTTATTGTCTGTGCTGATTGTCAAACTATCAATGTATTTTGTTTTGTTTTGTTTTTCTCATCACTCTATTTTTATTCACTTTATCTCTTTTTTTCTAAATTTAAATGATAAATCATTTTTTGTTTTGTTTTATTCATGATAATCTTGATGATGCAGTGAACTTTTAGACACCATTTTTAAGCTCTTTCGCTCTATCTCTCTCTCAGTTTCTCATGTCATCTTTTATTTTTACAAAAATTCAATAATTAAGATAATTTCGTTGTTAGCAGTTGTTGATTGCATTCCATCGACCGAGTTACTCTATATTTTCGATATAGTCTGTGTATTTCGCCTTGATTTTAACTTACGGAAGGAAATCAAGAGAAAATCCTGAATCTAGATTTCGTTGTAGTTTAGTGTCCGATACAATTGAGTATTTGCGTTCATGTGATTTTGATACGTTTTAATAGAATACGATAAGTTCTGAAGATGTTTGCTTGTGTACCATTCAGTGATAAATCAACGAAGATAACTCAGTCTTGTAAAAGGTTAATCACGACCCAGATACCTGAGTACTATCATCTCTGAATGACGCGCATTTCAATCAGATGAAAAGCATTGTCTTATTCAAAACTACAGATACCTTTGACTGAAAGTGCCTACTAGCACGGAACTCGATCCTAAGTTTTCCTGTCAACTGCTTCCGTCCATATAACAAAACTATTTTAAGGAAATTCGAAAATCTCTTACTACAGCACTTTTTTTCATATCAAATGATGCTGAAAAAAATATATGCCAGTAGTACATATTATTGTCTGTGAGCATTGATTAATCGCGTCATTGAGTAATCATATACTGTTTTTTAAGTAAGAACTTTAACCATATCTATTGTTTATAAAATAGTTATAACTGCCAATACGTAGCAGCATATTCATGATGTTATAATCATGATTCATTAGAATAAGTACTGTATCCCGCCACAATGGTGATACTCCTAGCCTAATTTTACAGTTCGTGCACTGGCTTTGTAGTATCTCCCTTGTCGCCATCAGGTTCGCATATTAAGCGTACAATAATATATCCCTTAATCTAACTGCTGCAGTTAGTTGTTTTTGAGGTAAATTGAAGCTCCTGTCGCTTCCAGATCCATATATTGCATATGTATTAAGTAATATTGAAAACATCTACCAGGTATATGAACTAATAATTTCACCATGACGTACTACTAATCGAGTACCAATGTGAACAAGCAATCTCTGAATAATTTCTTAAATCATATACCTCATCTTAGCATACTTTTGATAGGTTTGTATAAGTCAATATTTATGAATTTAAATAAAGAAATTATTTGGATATGAATTATGTCATTTTCTAAATGCTATGGAAAATAAATACCGAACTGGAAGTTCATAACTTCATTATACATTCTGTCATTCATGATAAACCATCTCAACATGAGGTAACAGCCAGCTGTGAACGCCAGCTCTTGAGATGATCGTTATCGCTTATGCAACTAAAATGAAAAAAAAACTAGTTTCGAGTACGACTTCAGTTGTCGGTAGTATTAGCAGTTGGTCGGGTAGCTTTAGCCGTACAAAGTGTGTTGTCTAAACACATCCCAACATTATTATTCATAGCTTTCGGAAAGGTATGAAACAATCAGTAGCTCGTTATCGGAACATTGAGTCAATTCAGGTTGCACCGTCTGACCAAAAATATTCTTCAAAATCATCTATATGGTCATACTGCCGTAAAATCACTACTAACAATGTTTCAAACACAAAACTGTGAATCTAAAAGCGAAACTTGGAAGTTCGCATTTTACAATGATCCTAACACATTTAAATTTTCATAAACGGTAAACAAGTTGTTAATACTTTTTTTGTAATGTTTTTAATTGTTAGCCTTGTGTTATTATTCACAAGATATTGGTTATATCCTCTTTATACTCATCAAGTGAACAGTTGTCTTCAACCTTCGGGTTTTTATCTTCCCACTGCTTATATAACCATCATTTCTGAAAAATTTATACTGTAATCTCTTTTCTATTTTTCAATAGACTACTTTATTTGGTAAATCACTATAAATGCACTTGTATAATATCTTGTCTAAATGACTTAGTTCAAAATAAAATTTTCTTTGCCCACTTGTCCTTAATTCCTCTTTAGAGCAGTGTTCATTGAGTTCGGTTGTTGCTAGATATTATTACTAATGAAGATGCTATGGATTTTACCTGTAAATTGTATGAAAAATGACGATCATATGATCTGAACAGACAGAACCTAACTGGAAATGTCAATATTACGAAACAGTGTTGACTTAGATTTTTGAATGACTATATAAGTTAGTCACTTTGACTTTAGTTAACTGAATAGCAAATAAAGAAGGCTTGTTTGAGAATGAAATAATAATAGTGTCAGATGGATTAGATAACATACTGATTGGATAGTGTGTTGTATTTTAAATGATTCGAATTTATTATCATCGTTCACAGATTGGCTATTTTTTCTGTCAAAAATTAAATTAGTAGTAAATCAATTAGTCCAGGAAAGTAGTTTGTACCGTAAAAAGCTATAAACTTAAATGTAATTTTGCATAATTTCGTTTAATTTGTTTTGCTAAAACAATCATAGAGAAATTCGTGATTTTCTTAAGATACATGAAAAGTTTATGCTTATCATTTTGCATGGATAACAAGGATTATTATAAATGATGATGAATATCATTGTTTTTAATGAAGATATGATTTTCTCTTATTGATGATAAATACGTAGTTTTATTGTGAAGACCAATTAAATAATCCAAACGATGTTTTCAAAGTCAATGAGTTCGACTTAAACTCATATAGAAAGATGATCTATGCAGTACATATATATTCTTGATAGAAAAAATTTATACGATCAGTTAACTTAGTAAAGATTTTCTCTATGTTTTAATGATTTTTTTCTTGCTTTTTTTAAACTAATCACAAATCCATTTTTTTATTTATTAAACTCATTATAATTATTACTATAATTACTTCAACTCTTTGCTTAATGATTTCTATGTGTATTAATATATATATATATATATATATATATATATATATTATTAAAGAAATTACTTAGAATCCTATACAACGTAGGGTACCTAAAAGTAATAAAAGTTTCTTTATGGTGTTGATTTTACCGTTTTCACTTTTATAAAGAAATTGAACGCTTAGTGCAAATGTAAAATTACCTTATATGGATATCATGTAGTAAGTAAATTTATATGTCAACAGACAATTATGTAATAGGTTATTACGGACATCAGATACGTTGGTCACAGTGGCAATCCCATGATATCCTAGCCACTTACTAACTTAACACAGAGTCGGACCAAATCATGACGCATAATCTCATCAGTTATTGAATTATTTAAGCAAATAATCTCAACCTTTAATGATGTAATTTTCAGTTTACCATTCATATAAATAAAAGTAGAATAATAAAGAATCTCTGCTTTGATTAAATTCAGGATACTTCACTTTAGATTTAACTGCATTTGAACCAATGTAGTCAAGTCACTTCAACAAGTGTATTCTTTCATTGGTAAGTTAATTACTATAGATTTTATACTAGACTGACAATATAGTATGCAGCCTGACTATAAATTGACTGAGATGACTACGAAGAACCAAACTGAACACTGGATATCCGATTATATTACAGCATAAACAAACACTAAAGATATAGGTGTGTCGTTTGGAAGCCAGTCATTACAATAATTGAGTTAGTTGAACGTAAAATGATTTCTAATTGTTTTTTATCACTCAGTGCCGAACAATATGGCTGAAAGATATCACCAAAAGTTAAAAGGCTATCTAATGGTCCTTACTTATGCCTGTTACCCCCAATAGAGCATACCCTTCCTACCAGTTTTCTCCTACCAACTCTGTCCTGGGCTTCCCTTTCCAGTTCTTTCCAATTTTTGTTCATTTTTCTCATGTCTTTCTCGATTTCTCGGCGTAATGTGTTTCTTGGCCTTCCTCTTTTCCTTTCGCCTTGAGGGTTCCAAGTGAGAGCTTGTCTTGTGACGCAGTAAGGTGCTTTTCGCAGTGTGTGTCTGATTCACTTCCACCGCTTCTTCCTGATTCCCTCCTCCACTGGAATTTGGTTCGTTCTCTCCCACAATAGGTTGTTGTTGATGGTGTCTGGTCAACGGATCCGAAGTATTTTACGTAGACAACTGTTAATGAAAACTTGTATCTTCTGGATGATGCCTTTGTTAGTTTTCCAAGTTTCCACCCCATACAGTACCAGATATATAAAGGTTTTAACATCCTCCAAGGCGTATCCATCGACAGTGATTTGGTTGGTGCATGTTGTGTTGTATCGCAGAATCTTGCTTTTCCCTTTATGTATGTTGAGACTAGCTGCTGCTACACTGGTCGTCTTCTCTTACATTTGTTGTTGCGTGTGCGATAGAAGAGCCAGATCATCGGCGAAGTCCAGATCGTTCAGCTGCACCCTGGCTGTCCACTGTATCTCGTGCTTCCTTCCAGATATTGACGTCTTCATAATC